GAAAAATGCAATGCACCAATATTACAAACTAAAGTTACAAACTAAAGTGTAGGTGGTGAGTGGATTTGAAGAACACCGTTGTGTTGTTTGAGCACCAATGCTATCTACAAATAAAACAACATAGTTTTGTACATTTTATTATAAGAAGATCAAATAAAACAACATAGATTGGCTATACTTTGCGGTTTGCGGTAACCGCAAGTTTTGAAAATCAAATACCGCAAATGCGGTTCGGTTCTTCATACCGCAAATATGGTTCAGTTCTTCATACCGCAAATGCGGTTCGGTTTACCGCGATTGCGGTTTCATTTCGGTAAATAGTCCGTTGGTTTTTGCGGTTTTTCGGATTTTCGGTTTAAAATGCCACCCCTAGGTAAGAGCTAAAGCTGGATTTGCTTTCTAAACATCCCCTGTGCATCCAACCACCCATTGTACCTGAAGTTCACAAAAACATTAGATGGAAACTGATAAACCCTTTTGTTATCACGTCCAACTTCCATAATCCATCAAATGAGTTATACAATCGTAGAAAAATTTGAGACGTAAATGTGAGGCCCTATAAAAAAACGAAGGCAAGAATATATTACCCAAAAAAAAAATACTGAATCCAACTATACAGGACTTAAAAGACATAGTATAAGCAAGGTACATATCACCACTAGCCAATCCTCCTAGTATGAGTGTCCCCCAAACAGAACTACCAATATGGAAATTTGGATTGCATATCCATTTTTGCTTCCCATACTCTATTCAATCTTTCAAGCCTTCATAGAACATAACCTGCAAAGTGAAGATGAAATCATAGTTTGAAACAAAACTAATATACTAAAAATAAGAACCCGATTAAGGAGAGAGAAACAGAATAATGAGAACTAAATCTTTTAGAGGCTAACTGCCTATGATTCACCAATGACCAAAACAGGGTACTTCTGAATTTTCCTTTTTGGGACAAAATATAGCAATAAACAAGTGTGGGGAGTGCATGTTAAGAAGTAGAAATCCTATAAGAAATATATTTTCTATTAGGAGTTCAAGTCGTATTTTGCCAGGGTTACGAGCAATTGTGGGAAAGGCCAAAAGAAAGGGGGTGATACATACAAACTATCACCATTCAACATACCATTAGACGAGGAAATGGCACATTGCTTGCAAGTGTGGACTAGTATCTGCCAAATGAAAGAAAAATTAAATCCGCAATTGTGCAAGAACATAATGGTCATAGTTCATATGCGTGCCAAATTACAACCAAATTGAACTAAGTATTTGAATGACACACCGCAATTGAGTTAAGAGGCCAACAGTCTTCAAGACTCCTAATTCCCTGATTCCCATCATGATGAAAAATAGAGGGAAGGAGGGGGAGGGACCATAGCTAAGCTATGGAAACACTTGAGCAAGAAAATAAAATGCCAGAACCAGTACTCGAAAATTGAGCTTTACGCATAAAACTAACAACTGTGTTTTCAATTGCTTCAAATTCCAACAATGTATAGTTTAACCTATCCTGAATAGTCAATGGTTGCATTTGGGGAGAAGATTCGTCTACTCCAAAATCATACAAGTGGGAAAATAGTGAATTGGAAGCTTACCAAACAGTTGCATTGAGTTGCATCCCTAAACCAAGTCTTCCGCTCGAACTCGAGGCGGTCTGTATCGCCATTGAAAATTGAAATAGCATTCTCTCTCTCTCTCTGGTTAGGGTTTTTGTTTTTCAATTTTTTTATAATTGTTTCATATTTTTGGACAAAAATATGCTATACCATTTAAATAAATTCGAATATTTTAAACGTATAGCCGATCGGCTATATGCCTTGAAAATATTTATTCGAATATTTTAGAAGTATAGCTGATCGGCTATACGTTTAAAATAGATTCCAATATTTAACAGTATCGCCGGACGGCTATAATCCTTAAATATATTTTACAAGTACCGTCGGACGGCTATAATCCTTAAATACATTTTACAAGTACAGCCGGACAGCGACACTGTATAGCTATAATTATTTGAATATTTAACAAGTATAGCCGAACGGCTATACCGTTTAGTAGAGATGATACACCACACTGCAAGCAACACCAAAACAATATGCCCACACGTGTGGAATAATACTTGGAGGGAGATGAAAATTAAAAAGAAAACATAAATATAGGCAAATTACCGATAACGAGTAGATGTTAACTGGTTTAGACATGGTTTGAATTACTAAACTTTAAAAATTAAGACTTTTTTTTTTTTTTTTTTTTTTTTTTTTTTTTTTTGAGATACAAAATTGGGATAAGAGTCAAAATTCATGTACCAAAAAAGAAAAAAAAAGAAACCCAATATCATTTTTTAGGAGTCAAAATTCATGTTACAATAAGTTACATATATGTTCAACATCATGATCTCATTGTCAAGAAATTTTTTCTTGTTCTTCTAGGGATGAGTTAGTCCACAAGAGTTCATCCGCTTGGGCAGAAGACAACAACAAAATAGAATATTACATAATATTTTGACATGTCTAAATCCTTAGACAATAATATGAAACTGCCCTCTCTACTTCTCAACTTAGAAGTGTGGAAAAGCAACAGCTTTGAGAGGACATTTTTTATGTGCGGTTATACCAGTGGTTTCTGTCATGTCTAAATCCTCCCCACTTGCTTCACCGGGCAATGCCCAATCAAACTTGTGTACGATGTTTGCTAAGGCAATTTCATTAACAGCCATGGCAAACTGAATTCCTGGGCAGACCCTCCTACCAGCTCCAAATGGAATCAATTCAAAGTCATTCCCTTTGTAATCTATACAATTATTCAAGAACCTTTCTGGCTCATACTCCTCTGGTTTGTCATACAGCTTGGGATCTCTTCCGATTTGCCATGCGTTGATGAAAACTTGTGTGTTGGCTTTAATGTTGTAGCCATTTACTTCTACATCTCGGGTTGACATCCTGGGAACTAGTAATGGAATTGGTGGATGTAAGCGAAGAGTCTCCTTCGTCACTGCCTTCAAGTAGTGCATTTCAACCAAATCATCCTCTGTAATTACGTCTGTTTTGTTTCCAACTATTCCCCTTACCTCATTCTGCAATTTGTTCATGACCCTTGGATGCCTTAAAAGCTCAGTCATTGCCCACTCTAAGGCAGTATATGTGGTATCAGTGCCAGCAGCAAACATGTCCTAAAAACAATTGATTGGATTAAGATATTTAACCTTTTGCAAAATATATATGCTACTATATGTTACACCTCTTTCACAAAAAACATACACACATGCACACACACACACACACATATATATATATATATAGAGAGAGAGAGAGAGAGAGAGAGAGATAGTTACCAAGATGATACCCTTTACGCTAACTCTATCAATAGGAATGCCAGCCAAGTTTTCTTTCTGAATTGCAAGCAAAATGTCCAAAAAATCCTTTTGGTCATCATCTCCACTCCTTGAACTGTGGTTCATATGCTCTTGAACCACTGTATCTATAAAGTCATCCAACTGCTTAGCCACCTTGTCTAACTTGGCTCCCAAACCATTGACATGGCTCAACCAAGAAAGCCACGGGACATACTCCCCAATATTAACAATTCCCAGTAAGTCAGTGAACTCCCCTAAAATCTCCTTAAACATCCTCCCACTTTCCCCGCCTTCCCCTTCACTGTACTTCCTCCCTAGAGCCACTCTACACACTACATCATTAGTAAGCCTCACAAACATTTCGCTTACATTCAAAACAGATGATGATGAGTCCCTTATGTTTCTGATCATGGATTTGGTTTCCTCTTCCCTCACAGAACGAAAAGACCGAACCCTTCTGTTGCTCAAAAGATTTAAAACACATGTACTTCTCAGCTGCCTCCAATACTCACCATACGGCGCGCTTGCGACATCTTTGTAGTTGTAGAGAAGCTTCTCAGAGATGGTGGACTTGGGTCGATCAGAAAACGCGAGGTCATGAGTTTTCAAGATCTCCCGGGCTGCCTCAGCTGAAGAGACAACAAGCACCGGGACACTTCCAAAGTGGAGAAGCATGAGAGGGCCATGGCGTTGGGACAAGGCTTGAAGTGAGCGATGAGGGTACGAGCCTATCTGGTGAAGGTTTCCAATGATAGGTAGCTTTGGCGGAGAAGGTGGTTGTGTTGATTTTTGGGTGGTGGTTTTAGTCGAAGAGTACCATGTGTATAGGAGGACAAGGAAAATGGCCAGCAGTGTGAAGGCCAAAGGTTGCAAAAAGGAGGAGCTTTCATTTAGCTCTTGCAACAATTGCAAAGGATTTAGCATCTTCAGAGTTGGTCCTATTAAACGAATGTGTTCTGTGTGTTTAAATAAAGGCAAAGATCATCCCAGGACTATCCAATGTATTTAAAGGTTGAAACCACCGCCTCACAAACTTGTATGTGAGCATTCTGTTGGTCCATTTGTTATCTTGTTATCTTCTTCTTCTTCTAGGGATGAGTTAGTCCACACGAGTTCATCCACTTGGGCAGAAGACAACAAAAAAATTTAGATGCTTTTGGAAAGCATAGAGTGTTTGGCTTTTGACCGTGCCTCATTTAAGTTTCTATCTGGTACATAGGAAAATTCAAGGTAGAAATTTGTTTTCGTGTAGATCCAAAAGACTTTAAAATCAAAATCCAATCTAACATCCCAGTTTAATGGAAAATACATCTTATCTAAGGATGACAGTCTAAATTCCTATAATTTATTTATTTATTTTTTTATTATTGTTGATGCCTAAAATTGGTTCAACAGAAGATGACCTCTTCGAGATCGAGGTCGGGCAATTCTTCCAAACGAGGTTGGCGTGACCAACCAAGTCGTCCTCCAGAACCTGCGAAACAAGATAGCCTCAGTGGGTGACACCGATGTGGTGCCGGCCAATGACACCGGTGTGGTGCCGGCCAAGGACCCTCCGATGCTTAAGTCAGTCGAGTGTTTGAGAATAAAATTGCACAATAGGTTCTAGTGCTTAGAATTGCATACCTTTTACGGAGGATGGCCTTAGCCTTTTATATCATCCCAAACGACCTAATCCTTCTCGGAGTGGGACTCTAGAGCAAACCAGCTCTCCTCGAGCTAGGACTCTAGAACAACCTAATCCTCCTCGGACTAGGACTCCATTTTGGATTGGCGTCTTGGTGATCCTGCAACATCCCAACTTCCTTGCGATTAGAAGTCCTTTGAGTGAACACCACGTAAATCAGACTCATGTGCATCGAGGCTGAGCTCAAATGGGCCCACGAGTCCACACGGGTCAGGGTGGACAAACATATGGTGACCAAGCTCGAGCCCAGTCCGACCACTAACACTGTGGTCTAGCCCAGCTAGACCACTAACACCGTGGTTTGGCCCAGCTCGACCAATAACATCGTAGTGTAGCCTAGCTCGGCCAATAACACCGTGGTGTAGCCTAGCTCGGCCTAGAGGTATTTTACCTCACAAACAATTAAGGAACAATATAAAGGATCATTTTATATCTCAAGCTAAGCATGACTTAGAATTTCATGATCTTATGCTTCCTTTGGGCTTCTGTTATGAAACTTTGAGGTGACACTGCAGAAAGCCCTTCACAATCATAAAATGGGAAAGCAGGAATTCTCAGAAAACCTTGGCGCTGCCATAGCTACAAGAGGAGATTTTCTGTGGATGACAAGGCCAGTACATTCTGTCATGCTTATATCCTAAGCTCTGGCTCCACCAGGCAATGTCCAGTCAAACTTGTGCACAAGATTTGCAAACACAATCTCATTAGTGATCATGGCAAACAAGGATCCTGGACAGCCCCTTCTTCCAGCTCCAAATGGGATTAATTGGAAGTCATGCCCTTTGAAATCTACAGAAGAGTTCAAAAACCTCTTTGGTTTAAACTCCTCTGGTTCATCCCACATTGAGGGGTCTCTTCCAATTGTCCAAGCATTGATCAGGACCATGGTTCTTGCTGCTATGTCATAGCCCTTTATTTTAGCCTCTTGAGTTGATTCGCAAGGAACCAGTAACGGTATTGGAGGATACAACCGAAGTGTTTCTTTGATCACTGCTTTTAAGTAAGGAAATTTATCTAAATCGCCCTTGGTTATGTCTACTTTGCCATTAGCAATTCCCATCATCTCATCTTGCAGTTTTTTCAAGACTATCGGATGCCTTAAGAGTTCGGTCATTGCCCACTCTAGAACTGTGTAGCTAGTATCAGTTCCATCACCAAAAATATCCTGCATAAACCAAGAAAGATCTTAGTTCACCCCCAAAAGCAATTAGCAACGGATGGAGAAGTATAAGATTTTAATATTATGATGTAGGTATCTTAGGCACATAAAGCTATTGAGCTTTCTTGCTTTAGTTGTGGAGACAGAGAAGAGACTTACCAAAATGATACCTTTGATGCTATCCCTATCAATGGAAGAGCCAGTCTTGTTTTGCTTTTGAATTTCAAGCAGAACATGCATAAGATCCTTCCCATCTTCACCTTCAACACTCATATTATCACCACAGCTCTCTCCTTTCATGTTAAGAGTACATATATGCTCATCAACTACAGAATCCAGAAACTCATCAAACTCCTTAGCAACTTTCTCCACTCTTGCATCTAAACCATTAATTTGACTAACCCAACCAAGCCATGGAATAAAATCCCCTACATAAAAACCACCCAACAAGATCATAAACTCCCCAAGCAACTTCTTAAATTTCCAAAAATCTACCCTACAAATCACATCATTAGTTAGTGAAGCAAACAACTCACTTAAATTCACAGGCAATGACAACAGAGAAGACTGTTTCACTTTCTCAGTTAGCAAGGCTAGTTCTTCTTCTCTTACTGCTTGAAAAGACTGAACCCTTTTGTTACTTAAAAGTTGGAGCACGCAGATGCTTCTCATTTGCCTCCAATACTCACCATAAGGACCTGAGGACACACTCTTAGCTTCATACATAAGTTTATCTGCAATGGTAGATCTGGGTCTGTTAGAGAAGATGATATCATTTGTTTTCATGATCTCACGAGCAGCGTCTGCAGAAGAAACTACAAGCACTGGTTGCATACCAAAACGAAGCACCATGAGTTCACCATAGTGCTAAGCTAGTCGTTGTAGGGATCAATGAGGGTAAGTGCCTAGTTGGTGGAGGTTTCCAAGTATTGGTAGACTTGGTGGTGAAGGAGGCAGGTTTTTGTGTTTTGGTGTATCGGTAAGCCTTTTGATGAGGAAGATTGTGAAGATGAGGAAGGGAAGGGCAATTACAAATAGGTGCAACATAGCTACTTGACAAGACCCGACCCAAATTCCACTTTGGAATCCGAGCCAAACCCTGTTCGTGATCGACACCTGGCGGGTGCCGAGCACAAATGACCTGGTTGCCCTTCTAGTTACAAACTTAACTTCATTTCAGCCTTGACTTTTACCGAAAATTCGGCAGAGTTTCCCCTGAAAATCAAACATTCCCAAAATTTCCACCTGTCAACAAGCACTTAAATATACACCAATTGCCAGTACACACAAATAAGTACGTTCCAACATTTAATTACATCCTAGGGCAACATCAGAGCAACTATACAGATTAATTTACAAGGAAAGGAAGAACTTGTGAACCAAGGACCCTACATCAAATTGAGGAAGAGCGAAAAGTGGAAACTGCCCTGTGGTGGCTCTCAGATGCATGTCTACTGCCTGGGGGCGCAAAACATTAAAAAGGTGAGTGGACCCAAAAACAATGTTTAGAAAATACATAAGAACATACTAACCCCGCTGTAAAAACAGTTATGCAAAACTAAATCATTGTTTTAATTATATACATATTGAAATCAATGCACTCATATATTTATAAATATAAGCCAATCATACTCATAGTCATCTTTAAACTCTTAAAAGCACTTAAATCAGTTTAAAACTACCACCTAGGTGTACCCCTCTAATTTCGTCAATTCCTAATAATCCGTCAATTCCCCTGGCAGGTCTTGGTGACACAAAGACAACCCGAGCCACAAACTGGCCGGATTCAGGGGACCGTAGTCAGTCTGATCCGCATTCCTGGTTCCCACGGTCTGAGCATCCCCGAAACTCGTGAGGTAAATGTCAAGCGCACTGACAAAACTGAAGGCAACCTGGATGTCTGTGGACATCGTCATATCCAAAGGCAACATATCTATATTTGGGTACTTGAGGTGGCTTAAGAAAATATAAAATCTCTGAAAGTTCTGCTGAATAATTGAATTTCTATTAAGTCTAAAACTCTGCTGCCATTTATCTTATATTTAGCTCAAATCTCCATTTCCTATATCCATAACGGATATCTCATTCGGTAGCATGTGAATTCAAAACATTTAAAAGCACATATCAACTAATAAAACACTAATCTTTGAATAAAACTTATTCAAGATCAAATACTGTAACTGAATAGCATAAATTCATTTATGAAAACAAAGAGTCCACTCACAGCTGGTCCGAGCTCACTGGACCTTTTGAAGGTCCCTCCTACGGGTCAACTGGTGCCCGGATGCCTGATTCAATTACCATAATAATATATACATTAATAAAACTGCTTGATATAAATATTTGGGTTAATGGTTCTATTGGTCCCCTAACTTTGACCGAATTTTCATTTGAGTACCTCAATTTCCAAAATGGTACCCACAGTCCCGCAACTTAAGTTTCGTTTGAATTACTAGTCCCACCGTTACTTCTGTTAGTTTTTTCGTTATATTTAGGGGTATATGGGTCTTTTCAGGTTGGTTTTGAGGGGCAAAAAAGGTTTTTACCCTTTTAGGATCTTTGATACGAGTAATAATGGAACTTCTTGTACAAAAAAAAACGAAAAAAAGAAGAAAAAGTCGAAGCTTTCAGACGAATCTTTTATGCTGAAGCTTTCAGACAAAAGCAAAAAAGCTAAAGAGTTTGAGTTGATTTTGTCTGGGTCATTGTGTATTAAGGTCGTCTGGTGTCGATACGTCTTGGTTATCTCATTGTGGAGTCAATAGGTGTTGTCGACAACTTTGATGGAGTTTGTATTCAGGACTTCTGGAGACCCCCCATATACGGTATGCGATGCTAATGGAAGTACTAGGAATGCTTTTTGATTTGTTAATTGCTTTTTGTTGTTTTGGAATTCTGTCTGTGTCTGCTCGAACTGTGCATCAATTGAGGGTTTTGTTATTGTCTTTCTTGTTTTCTTTTGTCTTTATGTCAACATTGAACGCATACCTTGTGTTTTGGTCAAATATTGAGTGCATACTTGGTCCTACTATCCTTGTTGAATTTAAGGGTTTGTGGTCCTACTAGTTTGATATATGTGAATTGATTGCACAGTTGCACACACTAGCACATTTGGTGGTCCTACTGGTAGATTTGTGTTCTACTGGTAGGGTTTAGTGTGATTTGTCTTTATTTAGCTGAGCAGAGATTTTAAAAATTGGTGTTGAACTAAGACTACTGCTTCATTTGCAGATAAGGGTGAGTTCTGCACTTTGGAAATTCACCATGGGGGTGTTGTACAAGATGGGGTTTATAAGGGGGTGTGTGGATGATTATCTATCACTCTTGGATTTAAGGAAAATAGGTATAGAGTTAGGATATGAAGTGGACCTAACTAAGAAGGAGATAGGTTTGCAAATATATTGTAAGAGCAAATTAAGAAGACCAACCCTGGAAGTACTGTGGTAATTAAAACTGAACTAGCAAATGATGATGCATTGTTTGAACAGATTTATATTTGTTTAGCTGGTTCTAAAATGGGTTTCTTAGAAGGGTGTAGGCCTGTCGTAGGTGTGGATGGGTGCCACTTAAAAGGACCCTGCTCAGGGCAGATCTTAACTACAGTTGGTGTTGATGGGAACAATGGTATGTTCCCATTGGCCTATGCTGTAGTTGAAATAGAAAGCAAGGCAAGTTGGATATGGTTTCTAGAACTCTTAATTGCAGACTTGGGGATCCAAAATGGTTTGGCATGGGTGTTTATAAGTGATAAATAGAAGGGGCTAATTCATGCTATGCAAACAGTTTTACCAAATACTGAACACAGAATGTGCGTGAGACATTTGTATAACAACTTCAAAGGCCAGCACACAGGACTTGCTTTAAAACATTTGCTATGGGCTGCTGCAAGGGCAACCACATTGCCTTGGTGGGAAGCAGAGATGGATAATTTGAAAAGGGAGGATGCAGATGCTTGGGGGTGGCTAATTGAGAGGCCTACAAAAAATTGGTCAAGATCTCATTTTGCAACACACTATAAGTGTGATTTGTTGTTAAATAACCTATGTTAAAGCTTCAATGCATCCATTATTGATGCAAGGGATAAGCCAATCCTAACATGCCTTGAGAGAATAAGAATGTATATTATGATTAGGATGGCTAATAGAAGGGCTTCTTGTCAACATTGGAGGTATACTGATGGTCCTAGAATCTTCAACATAATAGAGAAAAATAAGTTGGCATCAAGTCAATGCATACCAAGGTTGGCTGGGGAGAAGAAATATCAAGTAAGTCAGCTGTATGGGGGAGAATTTGCTGTCGATCTAAGAGCAAAGACTTGCTCTTATAGAAGATGGGACTTATGTGGGATTCCTTGCCCACATGCAATTTCTGCTATTTTCCATAGAAATGAAGACATAGAGGATTATGTGGATAAATTGTACAAGAAAGATGCTTACTTAAAAACATATGGTCCTATCATTGGACCTGTTCCTTCCATTGACCAATGGCCACGGAGTGGTTTACCAGCTATTAAGCCTCTCAACTTCAGAATCCAACCTGGAAGGCCAAGGAAGGTGAGGACAAAAGAACCAGGGGAGGTGGAAATACCAGCTCCAGTACCTCCAAATCCAAAACCACCCAACTGGAAACCACAACCTGCAAGGCTCAGACGAATCTTTATCAAGATTCGGTGCACAAGATGTGGTCAAGAAGGACACAATAAAAGAGGATGTGAAAGGGTCCAACAGGTAAAAGCTGCATTCAGATTCCTTGCCTTCATGTTATCACTTATAACCTAACCTAATCTAATTTTGTAATGATTCCAGATGCAAGCTGAAGAAGGCCAAGCTCCAGCTCCCCAAGCCCAGGCTCCAGCTCCCCAAGCCCAAGCTCCAGCTCCCCAAGCCCAAACTCAAGCTCCAGCTCCCCAAGCCCAAAATCATGCTCCCCAAGCCCAAGCCCAATCCCAAGCTCAAGCCAAGGCCAAACTGAATCCTTTTCTACAAATATCCAAGCAAGGGCAGTAATTGGACCAAATCTAGTGGCCCAACATGTAAGTGTAGTTTGAAGATGGTTTGATATTCACATGTTCTTATGTCATTTGTATAACATCAATCACATATGTGAACATTTGCTTGTAGGTGGTAGCAACCAAGGGTGGTAGAGGTAAAATGAGAATGAGAGGCTTAGGAAGATCATCATCCCAAGCTCAAGCCCAATCCCAATCCCAAGCTCAAGCCCAAGCCTAATCCCAAGCTCAAGCCCAAGCCCAATCCCAAGCCCAAGCCCAAACTGGAGCCTTTTCTGCAAATATCCAAGCAAGGGCATTAATTGGACCAATCTAGTGGCCTAACATGTAAGTGATATTTGAAGATGGTTTGATATTTACATGTTCTTATGTCATTTGTATAACATCAATCACATATGTGAACATTTGCTTGTAGGTGAAAACAACCAAGGGTGGTACAAGTAGAGGGAGAATGAGAGGCTTAGGAAAATCATCATCTCAACCTCAACCTCAACCTCATGCATTATCTCCAAATATCCAAGGGAGTGCACCAATTGGACCAAATCAAATGGCCCAACTTGTAAGTCATAGTTCCTCATGGTTTCATACTCACATTTTCTTATGTCATTTCAATAACCTCAATGTTTGGTTATAGGTTGCATCAACTAGGGGTGGTAGAGGGAGAGAGAGAATGAGAGGCTTTGGAAGATCATCATCTCAACCAGTGAGCAAAGGCTCTATCTTTGGAACAACCAATGGTGCATCATCTTCACAGCCACCAAGATGAATGATGTTTTGTAACTATTTTGGGGATACCTTTTTAGACTTAAACTATGTTGTAAACTTGGCTCTTTTGATGATTCAGTGTGTTTTGTACTCTATTTGAGTAACAAGTTATCATTTTGGAACATGTGGTGGATCTGGGGATGTATTAAACATGTCATATGATTGCACTTTTCTAGAAAAGGCTCTATCTGTGAACATTTGAATTTGTAATGAATGTAAGTTTTACTCTTCTGCTTATGTGAAAGGTTGCTCTACTATTTCATGTGCATTTGTATGCCTTAATTTGAACAAGTCTTATATGCAAATTGAGGTCAATGAATCTGGAATTACAACATTGCAAATAACCAAAGTTTTCAAAATCCATAAGCCTTTTGCATAACTAATAACATTACAAGATTGCATAACTAATTTCGGGAATTACATTAGCTCCAAAATGGGTTTCACTACCCTTACTCCCATACATTTTCCAGACATGTTTGACACCATGATCATCATCATGACAATGGCCATAAATAAAACACAAGCACCCATACTCATCCTACATTCTCTTTGTCAATGCTTCATCATATTGTCTTCCAGCAAAAGTCTAAGCCTTCTGTTGTCTCTGACTGCATAATCCAACTCCTTCTTATTTTCTTCAATTATGCCCTCCATTTCCAAGTTTCGAGCTTCTAAGGATTGAAGTGTGTTGACCACAACACTTTTTCTCTCTTCTGTCTCCCTCATTTCAGTTTCCATAATTCTTATTCTTCTAAGCAGACCAAGCACCACATTCTTCCCTCTTGTACATGTCTCCTTGTCCAACCACCTAAAATAATGCTCTCCAACTTTGTTTTTCTGCTTCGTTATTATCAAATTCTTCATCACAACAAAATCTGAACATAATACCAATTTTGTGCATAAACTCAATAGTCTAAAATTGTTTACCTAGTTGTTTTCACAAGCCTCAAAGCGTCTTCCTGGATTCATGTCCGTCCATGAAGTCCTCGATTTGATCAAATTCCCACAATGACAATACTTCACCGATTTGGGGCTTTGGTTAGATTCCATTGATGATGTTTCGGACATATCACTTGCCATCCTTCGAACTAATCTGCTCTCCAAGCTTCCAAACTTGACGATTCCAACTTTTACTCAGCCAATATGCGAGCTGCAGAAGTGGATTGCAACTTTTGGTTCTTTAGGTTTCCGGTGGTAGGCTCTCTCTCTCGATCGTCTATTTCAGAGGGAGCGAAGGCAAGTTGTAGAAGGGGGATAATATAACCAACCTGAAAAGACCCATATACCCCTAAATATAACGAAAAAACTAACAGAAGTAACGGTGGGACTAGTAATTCAAACGAAACTTAAGTTGCGGGACCGTGGGTACCATTTTGGAAATTGAGGTACTCAAATGAAAATTTGGTCAAAGTTGGGGAACCAATAGAACCATTAACCCTAAATATTTAAATAAAACCCTGACCCCCGGCTCCTAGAAGTGTGTGCATCCAATTAAAGTTACTCTTATGCCCACATTAACGTTCCTTTAACCCTAGGACACAAGTCCCGTGAGTCTGGTCTCGATCGGACGGTTAGATTGGTCACAATCACACGATCAACGGTTCGAAACTATTGAACCTGGAAATCACACAAGATGCGAGATCCGTTCGGGGTTCAAACACCAAATTGAGATCCGCGAATTCCTACGCGCTCATGACACCGAGGATCATTTTAGGATTGAATGCGGTCCCCACCAGACCGCCCACACGCCACCACAAGCCGGCAGCGCGTGGATGGCTTGATAAATTTTTGGCGGCCCGAAAAACTCCAAACCGCCGGCCCATACTCCTAACTTAGATAAAACACCCATTTTGGAACCACTTTTGTTCTTGGACCTAACCCAAAAACTGGCCGGAAGTGGCCGGAATTGCACTCTCAAAACCTACTAAACCCTAAATCGAAAATCGAACGATCTACGCTTGAAATTTCTCGAATCCTACCAAACCAGTAGCTAGGGCATGGAAAATAGCTAGAAAACCATACCTCACTCGTCCGATTTGGTGGCCGTATGATGGAGATCGAAGGCTTGGAAGTTCTGTCAAAACTGGCAACTTCCTTCGGGTTTTCCGGCGGTTTCTTTGTGGCTGGCGGCGGGAGGCGGTCGGGGGTTGAAGTCGGAACCAAGCTAGTCCTTTTGGCACCGACGGTGAGGTCTAGGGTGGTCGGATGAGGTGGCTATGGGGGGTGGAAGATCCGGCTAGAGGGAGATCATCAGGAGAGAATTGGGGTTTAAAAATTCTGACTTTGCAAATTACCATTTTGCCCCTCCACGTATTTTGACTGTATTTTCTTCGTTAAAACTACGATTCAAGCCCACTACGTGTCTACGGACTCGTTTTGTCGCGCTCTACGCAACGGTGCACGTGGAATTGCCAAATTCTTTCTCGGTCAAAAAGTCAACTTTTTCTTTACTAGAATATTCTAAGGGCAAAAGTGTCCTTTTCTCTTAATAGTTTAATGGTTAAATATTAATTAAGGTTTGGGTCATTACACTACTGGTTGCTCAATACCTAAGAACTCAATGTCAAATGTTGATTTGTCTTGTTACATTTTCGGTAATGTTAATCATAGCCTCATATATAGATGTTTCTAACTTCTTTTTAAACCTTTATTTCTCTTATGTTTTATTTTTTTTATATCTATTGACAGTAAGGAGAGAGGGTTCCCAGTATGACCTTTCCTCTCTCTCTGAATACTTGTCAGTCTCCTCACTATATATTAAGTGAGAATGGTAGAATATAATGCCGGTTTGATCACTTCTCATTAGTAAACATTATCAGATTAGTATTACTCAATACGCAATCTTATGCGGTTACATCAATGTGATTATAAGATTATAAGTAAGGATCATTTTGTTATAACGCAGCCACACACCAAAATAATAATAATAATAATAATAATAATAATAAATAATTTTTAAATAAATAAAATTTTAAATAAAAAAAAAAAAAAAAAAAAAAGGAGCAAGACATGGCTGCTATAACATAGAAAAATTCAGGTCTTTTCATGTGATTTTCTGGCTCTCCACCAGCTCCAGCCAATGTTTATTTAGCAGATATACCATATGAGCATCATGCACAGAGAAATACAAATGAAACCATTAAGAAAAAGACAAGTAGAAAATGATTTAAAAACAATTTTTCCTTGCTCTTTCTTCTTGTATTATACCCATGCATGTCTCCCCCAAAACATACATGAAGGTGAACTTCATACTAACAGTTATATATGGTGGTGGTGCTAACCAAAGGGTATTTTTAAAAATCATTGTTTTTTTTTTTTTTTTTTTTTTTTTTTTTTTTTTTCAGTTGGCAGTTATTAAACATTGCAAATTAAGGTTGTTGAGTTCTGAGCGTGTAGGTATTGCTCTACTTATATAATTAACTTGGGACAAAACAAACGAACAAGTCCATTTTATTTGCTTAATACTATGTAAATTATTAATTAATAAACTATTTGTGTCTAAGTATGTTAGTGTTTATCATACAATAACAAAGTTGAAGGGAGATCAGGAATCAAATTATAATAATCATCAAAACTATAATTCACAAACCCTAAAGCCGGCTATACTTTTAAAATAAATTCGTATATTTTAAAGGCTTAATTATGTACATGCCCCCTGTGCTTTCCAACTTATCTCAGATTACCACCTGTGGTGGAAAACGTCTCAAAGTACCCCCCAACGTGCAAAAAACTGTCTCACGTTACCCTTTCCGTCAGTTTTTTTGAAGTTCCGTTACGAACGTTACTGTTCATCTCCCCCAAAATTCCAGAACAGCAGCTCCTCCCATTTGTTACTGTTCATCGCACCAGTTTTTGGGCTGCCATCGCCTCCTCCGGCCACCCCAAGCGACGACATGGATATCAAAAGAACCAGCACGTTGTCCTCTACCACCCTCACATCTCAGCCGCTGCCAACCGTCGTCTGGATCACCGAAAAAAGCAAGAAATTGGCCGATTTTTACCCAAAATCTCCATTGCTCGTTCGGGCGATTCTGAGCACCATTTTCTTCGATCCAGGTATGATTTTTCAACCTCTCGAGTTGTTCTTGCTGCTAGTTGTGTTGGTTAGGAGAAATTTCTGAGTTTTGGAGGGTAAATAAGCGATGAACAGTAACAAAGGGGAGGGGCTACTGTTCTGGAATTTTGGGGGAGATGAACAGTAACATTCGTAACGGAACTTCAAAAAAACTGACAGAAAGGGTAACGTGAGACGGTGTTTTGCACGTTGGGGGGTACTTTGAGACGTTTTCAAACACAGGTGGTAATCTGAGATAAGTTGGAAAGCACAGGGGGCATGTACATAATTAAGCCTATTTTAAACGTCTATACTCTTGAAATATCTTTATTCGATATTTTACAAGTATAGCCGCGCGGCCTGGCTATACTCTTTAAAAATATTTATTGGAATATTTTACAAGTATAGCCGCGGGGCTATACTGTCCCGTAGAGATATGCAAGCAACACCAAAAAAATTTTTCCACACGTATGGAATAATACTTGGAGGTAGATGAAAATTATAAAGAAAACATAAATATAGGCAAATTACCGATAACGAGCAGCTGATGTCAGTAGCCTAAAGCACTAATATTCCAACCATTTTGTAGTTACACTAGAATAACAGTTTTTGCACCAATGCTGGTGAGATCTATCATAAAAACAAACTATCGACCACTTGAAGCTCTTGCTAGGTCCTGGACTAATCCACGACGACGACTACCTGTGTAGATTACACATTACGTACCCTCATACTGCATGAGAACATTATTATTTTTAGGCTTAATTATGTACATGCCCCCTGTGCTTTCCAACTTATCTCAGATTACCACATGTGTTTGCAAACGTCTCAAAGTACCCCCCAACGTGTAAAAAAACCGTCTCACGTTATCCTTTCCGTCAGTTTTTTTGAAGTTCCGTTACGAACGTTGCTGTTCATCTCCCCCAAAATTCCAGAACAGTAGCCCCTCCCCTTTGTTACTGGTCATCGCTTATTTACCCTCCAAAACTCAGAAATTTCTCCTAACCAACACAACTAGCAGCAAGAACGACTCGAGAGGTTGAAAAATCATACCTGGACCGAAGAAAATGGTGCTCGGAATCGCCCGAACGAGTGATGGAGATTTTGGGTAAAAACCGGCCAATTTCTTGCTTTTTTCGGTGATCCAAACGACGGTTGGCAGCGGCTGAGATGTGAGGGTGGTAGAGGACAACGTGCTGGTTCTTTTGATATCCATGTCGTCGCTTAGGGTGGCCGGAGGAGGAGATGGCAGCCCAAAAACTGGTCAGATGAACAGTAACAAATGGGAGGAGCTGCTGTTCTGGAATTTTAGAGGGGATGAACAGTAACGTTCGTAATGGAACTTCAAAAAAACTGACGGAAAGGGTAACGTGAGACGGTTTTTTGCACATTATGGGGTACTTTGAGACGTTTGCAAACACAGGTGGTAATCTGAGATAAGTTGGAAAGCACAGGGGGCATGTACATAATTAAGCCTTATTTTTATATGGTTGGATTCATAATGAAACAATAAAGAACCCAACGTGACCAAATGTCAAAAGCAGTTACAGAAGTGTACATAATTTAATAAAAAGAACACTCAAAGTTTCAAACAACAAACACAAACTAAAGGAGGGGGGAGGGTTTGATTATTCAAATGACCTAATTCTAATGTTTAAAATGTAACCAAACTCTAATTTTAATAAGATCAACAAATGTTATTAACAAAGTGTAATTTAACATGGTAACAAACACTAGGATTTTCGGAATCCACCATAAACAATCCTACTCATTTCCATGAATACTCAAGTTATTAACTCTAGATGCATTGATGAAGATTTTTGAAATCATGACAGGGTTTAATGGCTCAAGACGCATGATTCTCTCCAAAATAAGTAAAGTGCGTGTTTAGTGCTACAATACTTGTGCTTTCCATACAATCAATCTAGGTGTGCTTAGTACTTCGATTTAATCATATGAAAAACCCATTAAGATTGAAGAGAATATGAACATCACAATAACCCTAATAGTATGATGTTTACAATAGACATTCAAGAAACTAATTCACATGATGCTCACTTAAAAAGGATTCAATCATTTGTTTGCTAATTAGAAATTATGTTCTTTGGTATCTTACACAACTTCTCAGCTTTAGCTAGATGCATACAACCTAAGGTGATCAATCAAAGGAAGCACACGCATAGCATATGATTAATTTAGTGAAAATGAATTCATCAACAACATCTATAAATCCAATAACTCAAGCATCAAAACAATAGAGTAATCATGTTTAGGGCTTCAACCTAAGCCCTAGTTATGGAGTTTAGTTCCTCATACTTATTACAAACACAAATTCAAAATATAACTAGAAAGAGTTTACAGATTTTGTAGAGATGAAGGCACAAAAGCCTTTAATGGTGGAAGAGTTCTCCTCCTTCATAGCTTCCTTGCTTGGCTGCTGCCTTTTGCTCTCTCTCTCTCTCTCTCTCTCTCTCTCTCTCTCTCTCTCTCTCTCTCTATCTCTCTCTCTCTCTCTCTCTCTCGTTTCAGAAAATGCAAAGTGTAGACAATGTTTCTCTTGGCCAGCTGATCCTTTCCCCCTTGCTTGGCTACCTTCTCTCTCTTGCCAACTCATTCTTCAATATTAAACTCCACCTTTTGCTAAAGTCTTTGGCCATTGTCTCCTCCTCGTCTTCTTGAAATGATGAGATTTGGTTTTTAAATTCATTACAAGGGTCCCTTTGTCTCAGCAAATCCCACTTCAATAAGGTAATTCATTGTTACCAAATGGTATGGTAACAAGTAGAAATAAGATGACATCAAGTGGAGGTAATACTGGCCCAAAACAGATTTCCATAGCTAGGATCGATGCTAGATCAGTTGGGGAGGTTATACTTGTTCAATGAAGCTCAATTTTGGAGATGTTGTAATTGACACCTGTGGGGGTCTTTTTGTTCCAGCAGCTTGACGAATGGGCTTGGGCTGCCATAAGAAGAAAACGAACAGAAATTCCCCAAGTATCTCAATTCAGAAATCAAGCTCCTGAAAGAGTTTTTGAAAGGTTTGATGAAACCTTAGAAAAATACCCTCAGGTTATTTTCACCAATAGCCAAATAAACATAATAGATTGATTAATGGCTTAGCGTGAGGAGCTTGTGGCATGGGAGCAAAACCATCATGAGTTTAGCATGAACAGAGAGAGATAAGCGTGAGTTTCTTACAGTGAACAAAGGGTTAAAGTGGAACAGAAGAAGATTAGACAGATTTCTTTCCTAAGGGAAGAGGAAAACAAACGAAGGAGAGAATTGGGTGGCTTGAGTAAAATTCCCAATTTGTTTGACAAAGCATGGTCAAGCCTTGGATGGGTTATTTTGCTAGGTAGAAGAAGCATGGAGGAATAGGGCTCGAAATTGCTGGGTTTTGGAAGCAAGAGAGGAAGCTTGCTCTCTGGATGTGGATTAAGTGAATTTCCAGTTGCTTGACAAAGCTTGGTCAAGCTCTAGATGGGTTAGGCTGTGGATGGTTTTCTGGGTAGATGAGGCTCTCTTTTATAGGCTTGAAGAACCCTAATTTCATCTAACTTTTCCTTTCCCTTTCCCTTTTCATCGTTTCTTCCTACTTGATCTAATTTGGTGAAATTCTCCTATCCAAGGAGCATGGGTAAGGAACCCTTTGTGGTTCCAATAGTTTGACGCAGTTGGACCTTCCCATAAGGGGGGAGGCGCCACCTGTTTTCTTTTATGGTTTTCAAGATGGAGCTTGCAGAGGAAAAAGAGATGGGAGGAGTTCTTTGTCTGATGGGTATTCGTCTCTCACACATGGATTTCCACTGGTTCTTGTCATGGTTCCTTGTTTGACCGTCTTGGAATCCTAGCAAGGATGGAGCACGATGCCAGATTTTTTATAAGGCTTTGGGCTGGGCTTGTATGTACAGTGTTGGGTTATCAACGTGTTATCTCCAGCATCTAATGGTTTTTCGTCAAGTTGCTGGAAGTGTTTTTGACAAAGTGTTTGGGTGCTCTAACTAACATAAGGTTTTCTAAACAAGCTATTGTATTCTTTCTAAGGCATTGTGTTATGTTCTCTCTCTCTCTCTCTCATGCTAGCCCATGTGTTTGGGCTCAAGAAATGGGCTTGAGTTTTGGGGCTCCTAAGCAACCCAAAACTTACATTTCTTGGCTCATCAATGGGCCTCATGAAAGCTTGTTACCATCCATACCACAACCCACTCAAGCAAGCCCCAGGCATTTGCGTGGCTTGGGCCTACTTAAGCTTATAGCGTGGTTGGGTGTGAAATAATAATTTCCTGCTTAGCATGGCATGTCAATCGGCGTGTTTTAATTTTATCATCCTTGAATAGAGGCATGATGCTTGACGAGGTAATGGGCTCGTAGAGTTAGTGCTTATTTCAATCTTAGCATGATAGATTGCATATTTATTTGGCATGGCATGTGGTCGTAGCTTGTGCAAGCATGAATGAGGAATTTTGCATGCTCCGAACCGAGTCTTTTTCTTAATAAGGCATTATGTTAGGCCGAGAATTTATTTGGGCCTCAACAACACCCATAGGAACAGGGACAAACCCAGGAATCTTATCTCATAGGGTCATAGTGTAAAAGTTCAATTTTTTTGGAGAAGCTGGGGCTTGGGCTTAAAGGTTTGATGGGGGAGAGGGTTAAAGGTTTGGGGGGGTGGAGATTGGGGATTTAGGTTTGAGGGTTTAGGAATAGGGGTTTTGGATTGGAGATGCTGAAGTTGGGAGAGTTCTCTTTGAATATGTTCTTTTAAAAACAAAAAAACAAAAAAAAACAAAAAGACTTGGACCAAAACGACGTTGTTTTGGCCAGATCTTTAAAAAAAAAAATTCGCAGGGGCTGGGCCAAAACAACGCCATTTTGGCCAGCATGTTTTTAAAAAAATTTAAATGCTCGGCCAAACGATGCCGTTTTGGCCAGCATGTTTGGCAGCATGTTTTTTTTTTTTTTTTTTTTTTTTTTTTCGCTATGGATCTTCTTCTTCCTCAGACCAGCAACCATCTCCTTCATCCATTCATGGGGTCACACAACCATTAAAGGGGACCTTGTAGCTTACTTTCATGGTGTCCATAGGGTCGTTTGACCGCATTGACCCCACGGTGGGTTCTTCGTCCCTGCATAGGAACAAGTTTCATGAAGAACTTAATCGCATCTGAACACCAAAACATGCTGATCCAAATAAGGACGTACCTTTAGTTTGGCTAACTTGAGCTATAGCCTAGGTGGCTTCTTTTTTTCCAACCAAAAAAATAATAATTCTAGCTCACCTAATTTAAATAACCTAGCCTCCTTTAGTTCTCCTCCTTGCACAACACGTAGTTAATAAAAAGAGAGAAAAAAAAAAACTCATACACAACACAACACGTCGAAAAAAAGAAATAAATAAAGGGCTATCGACAAAAGACACCATGATGGTTTAGGGTCATTCTCAATATGGACCATAGGGTTTCAATTTCATCAATTTACACCATAATGTTTTCAAATATGACTAATTTAAGCCTTCCGTTAAGTTGATCGTTTGGTCAGACATTAACTGATGATGTGTCAATTGTGGAACCCACCTACTAACCAATCCCAAAAAATAAATATATATAAAATGAGAAATAAAATAAAAAAACTTTTAAAAACCCATCGTCTTCTCTTCCCTGCACAGCGCCTTCTGTTCCCCACCCAATCTCGCTGAAGCCTACTTCCCAACCTCCGTCTCCCACCCCCTCTCCCTCCACCTCCTCTTCATCTCTCAGACCTCCGCGCACCATTTCACTACCCCAGAAATGCCAGACCCCCAATCTCTCCGTCAACAAGCTCCGCACCGCACCCAAAGCGACGTCGATTCAATCCTCGCTCGCCTCCATTGCCACGTCGCCGAGATATTGATCAAGAGCGGCTTCCTCCCCGACGTTGACGTCGAGGTTTGCTCAGTAATTAGCAAACCAGTGGCCAATCATGGTAATTATTATTCTTCCAATTTTTTGTGGGTTTATAATTATATTAGAATATTGAAAGGGTTGGGATATTCTCCAGATTGTATCGCAGGGGTTAGGCCACCATGTCTGGTTCTGTATTTTTGTTTGTTCTCTGTCATTTTGCTGGGATGGGATTATTGCTAGGGTTGCATGGTCAGGGGTGGGGTTGATCGAGTTGTGGTTTGGTGCGACTTGGTGGGTGTAGGCTCTGGTTTAATCGTACAAATAGAGCTTCTTGGACTTTATCGAGACAACCAAGGAGCCTGGAGTCATTTTTGTTAGCCAAATTTGATGGCATAGTTGGACTTGCATTTCAAGAGATATCAGTTGGAAATGATGTACCTGTGTATTTCATGAGTATCTACTCTGTTTGACTCAGGTTGTGTTTTCAATGATCCATAGGAATTCAGAGATTTCATCTTGCTATGTTTCTCAGTGGTGGAGGTGGCTGAGTTGAGGGGATGGGGAACCTGGGGGAGGGGGAGCAGGGGGGCGCTGGGTTGTTGGGCATAGAAGGGGTTGGGATTTTTAAAGTTTTCTTTTTCTTTTTCTAATTTTATATTCTTTTGTCATTATATATATTTTGGGATTGGTTAGTAGGTTGGTCCCACAATTGACAAGTCATTAGTTAACGTCTGACCAAACGGTCAACTTAACGGAAGGCTTAAATTGGTCATATTTGAAAATATTTGGGTGTAAATTGATGAAATTGAAACTCTGGGGTCCATATTGAGAATGACCCCAAACCATCAGAGTGTCTTTTGTCGTTAGCTCATAAATAAATAACTCACACACAACACGTAGAGGGAGGGAAAAAAAAAAAGCACCCTACCCTTGCACGTAGAGAAAAAAAATGCTCTTGTTGCTGCTGCAATCACCTTCAAGACTTAATTTAAGTGAACCAACTTCCTATATTCGTCAAGTAAGCTTCTCTCAATTTGTTGATGTTCTAATTTGAGGATTTTTTTTATAGAGTTTATGAAGTATCAATTAGGATTTGCAATTGAAACTTATGAATTATCAATTAGGGATTTGCAATTGGGGCTTATCAATTTCAGTTTATGATGTTATGAATTATCAAATATGAATTGTAATTGATTTTATTATTTAAATAGGTATAATTTTTTTTTTTTTTTTTTTTTTTTTTTTTTTTTTTTTTTGGTTTTGGTTGTTTTTTTTGTTTCAAAATCAATAAATTACAAATTTGTATGTATTGGTTGAGTTTTCTATCTACTTAGTACCTAAATTTAGCCCACCTCATTTTGAAATCCTTGGTCCATCCTGGATACGAGGCCAAGAAGTTGACCTACGAAAATGAACAAAAACAGAATTTATATTCAATAATGCATTTTTAGCTCACATTCATACCAATAAATGTAAAATCTATGAAAAACACAGGAAGGAAGTAAAATGCTATAAAATATCAAGAATTAACTCAAAATATTGGATGAATAACATGATAAATCATGTGTAAAAATGAACCCAACACTTTCTAGGAAACTCATGGAAATATCATTAGATGAAAAACTGTTATGCTGTATGAGATCAATTCACAAGACCAATACCACAGTAGTAGTCATATATTTCAAACATGAGGGTAACCAAATTGAAGAGGCACAGTTGGAGGAACAAGTATATGAGCAAGTTGATGATGAAGGTATTGAGACTGATGATGGTGAAGGTACTAATACTGATGTTGTGAAGGTACTGATGAAGAGGGTGATAACAAAGATCCTGATTTTGTTGATAGCGATTATGAACAAAGTGAAGTTGAGGAGTGCTTGTTGAAACACGATGACAAGTGGTTTGATGGCTATGTAGATTATGATACAATTGACATTGATCCTAATGTAGAGGAAGATGATGATGAGTCAGACCACGGAGAAGACTCACCTACACTTGGAAGCACATGTAGCTCTTCTAGTGAAGATGAAGCAATTGCTAATTTGAGGATGAGGAGGAAGAAAATGCCAAATGGTGAGGATTTTAGGCTTGAAACTAATATGGCAAACCCACCATCAATAATAGAGCATATCGTCAATGATGGGGATTGGGGTCCGGACATAGGTCACCAACAACACACACGAGTACCGAAATCTAGAGTTTGTGCAAACTCACATATATCATAGCAAATTCATGCCACAAATAAACTATTTTATTAATCATAAAAAAAACTTCCCTACAACTATTACATTAGCTTATTTATAGGCTTTACAATACTTGGGCACCAAGGTTACTTGGTCCAAAAGTAAGCTAATTAATTACAAAATCACACATAAATAATAAAAGATACCCTAAAACTACCTAAATAAGAAAATAACTATAACAACCCGATTCTTAATTAATTTTTTTTAACTATTATTTTATTCAAAGAAATGACTAGAATACCCTCGAAATATTTTAATGGTTTAAAAGTTAACTTTTTATTCAGGAAGGAATTTGGGGATTTCAGTTGTACCGTTGCATAAAGCACGTCGAAACGAGTCTATAGACACGTAATGAACTCAAATCGGAGTTATAACGAAGAAATGGTAATCAAAAGAAGTTCAGAGGCATAACCGTAAATATTTCAAAGTTTAGTTAGTTTTAAACCCAGAATTTCTGCATTTCGGGGGGGCTCGATCGGACGACTTCTAGAGGAGTTTCTCTCAACTCCGACCACCAATTCAAGCAAGACCAGTCCCGTTAGAACCTCCACACTTCCCTCTTTCAGCCCTAGTTCTTTGTCGCCCCGATCCACCGCCGTAGTCGCCGGAAACAACCAAGAAACAGGCGGTGTTGGACAGCTTTTCGTAAACTTTCGCCGGCTCGTTCTCCGTCATCCGGCCACCATTTTCGGCGATCCAGGTATAGAAATTCATATATTTTTCGAGCCCTAGCTGCTGGTTGGGTAGGATTTCAGAAATTTTTAGCGTAGATAACTCGATCTTGGATCCAAAGTTTAGCCGGATTTCGGGTTGAGATTCCGGCCACTTCTTGCCAGTTTTTGGGGTAGGTCTAAGAACAAAAGTGGCTCCAAATAGGATGTTACACCTAGGGTAGGAGTCTTGAGTAGTGATTTGGAGTTTTTCTGGCGAAGCATTATCGCTTTAGGCACCACGTGCTGCCAGCGCGTGTGCTGGCGCTTGGGCAGCAGGGTGGGGACCACAATTAGTCCTAGAATAATCCCTTAGTCCTCACGAGCACGTAGGATTTCGCGGATCTTAATTCGGATAACGTTTGAACCCCAAACGAATCTCGCCTAGTGTGGGATTTCCGAGTTCAGCATGTTTGAGCCGTTGGATCGTAGTCACGTTCAGGTATGTTGACTCAGGTAATTACAGAATCGTATAATAGTTGATGGATCGTAAAACGGAGTTCCAAATATTTTAGAAACGCCAGCCCTAGAGATAGGTTTACAGTAAACAAGTCCGGACCGAAAGAAGTTATCTAAATCCTATTATGGGATGAGCAGATAGTTAGTTATAAGTTGCGGTCCGGATAGTAGCAGTATCTCCGAGGCCTGCCAGTTTGCAGTTCAGGAACAGAGGAAAGAACTACGTGTGGTTTGATCCCTCAGTAAGGGTACGTAGGCAGCCTACAATTTTATGGTGCAGCCACAAGTTAGAGCCTTTGAGTTTGTGTTCTTGTTTTTCAGGGCATTTTGGTCATTTGTGACCCACACCCACCAGGTGTCAGTATTAAACAGGATTCGGCCCGGATTCCAAAATGGAATTTGGGTCGGGTCCTTTCAATAACAATATCTCAAGAAATAACAAATTAAAGGGTAATATCTATCCTGATCCACCCCTATGCTCCTGCATCAATCAAGGACTTCTTTTACAATTCTTGTTCCAAGTTATAGTCCACCATTTCTCACCACATACTTGCTGTGAATTTTGTATCAACAAGAGATCCCTCTTTCCTTTTCCCACTCAAAACTGTAAGTGATTTCTTTTATTCTTTCTTTTACATGTTCTCATCATGGACATATATAGATTTGAGAGGATATTTCCCATGCATGGTTAAACCAATAGCCTCAGTCAAATTCCCAAAACACAAAATATTTCCCAAGAAACCAGGTTAAGACATTTGCATTCACACTCACAACAACAGATTTGAGAGGATATTTCCTATGCATGGTTAAACCAGTAGCTTCAGTCACGTCCAAATCCTTGCTGGTTGCTCCACCAGGCAATTTCCAATCAAACTTATGTGCTATATTTACTAAAGCAATCTCAGTAACATCTGTGGCAAATTGAACTTACACAAGAATATGGAACTTGCACGGATCTTTATTTTTGTTTGGATGAACAAACACTAAAGGAACACTTTAGATACTCTTAAACAAAACTCGAATTTCATGATCTTATGTGTTTCACACATCCAACCTTCTAAAATGAATATAGAAAGAAAATATGTTCTAGAAAAACCTCATTGGTAATGCAAGATAAGATCACAGTTAGATAAGATCACCATGGGGCATTTTCTTCTTCTTTTGTCTTTTACCTCCTCTCTTTTTGACTTTCTTTGTGAGAGTAATCTAATACTAGTCTTGTTTCAATTATCTTTCCCACTTTAATTTAATCCCACGAGATAAAGCAACTGACTTTTCCCCATCTCATCAATCGTGTATACTTGAGTTTGAGTTTTTCACCACACACCACCATGGTTAAAAATTCAGAAACTACCCTGATTTTGAATTTCCAAAAACTCAAAATATTCCAAACAGACCAATTGAAAATGTGTATATGGTGAGAAAACTTGCATTGACACATAATATTTTGACAGTTCTTATTGTGCTATGGTATCTTGGCAACAGTACTGACAGCTGAAGCTATAGACATACACGATAGCAGGCTTAGAGCCTTAACATATATAATATGAAGACCAGTTCAGGTGCGTATATGAAAATGTCCTCTCTATCCCTCAACTTGAGTGTGGAAAAGCAACAGCTTTCAGAGGATATTTTCTATGTGAGGTTAAGCCAATGGTTTCTGTCATGTCTAAATCCTCCCCTCTTGCTTCACCGGGCAATGCCCAAACAAACTTGTGCACGATGTTTGCTAAGGCAATTTCATTAACAGCCATGGCAAACTGAAGTCCTGGGCAGACCCTCCTACCAGCTCCAAAGGGAATCAATTGAAAGTCAATCCCTTTGTAATCTATACCAATATTCAAGAACCTTTCTGGCTTATACTCCTCTGGGTTGTCATACAGCTTGGGATCTCTTCCAATTTGCCATGTGTTTACACCATAATCAACCGAGCATATCCAGTCTCAAAACAACTAGCACCAAGGCAGACACGCCTTCTCTCCTGCCGAAGGAAGACACTCTTCCGAGATGCCAAGCACCTGCCGAAACTCCCGACTGCCAAAGCTCACAAACTGTTAAACCTAATTCTCATGACACGTGTCACCACCGCGGCGACTTGCACAGAGTCCCACATCGGAAATCTACACCAACCTCCCACTTTCACTTCCCTATAAAAAGGGAACAGTACCCTAGTAAGAGGAGTAACTACTTTTCTGCATTTTACTATTACTCTGCAAAAGTTGACTTAAGCATCGGAGAGCCTTCGGCCGGCACCACACCGGTGTCCGAAGCTTGACGACTGCTTCCCTTATCTTTGTCTTCTGCAGGTTAGCCTTTATTGAAGGCCCAGACCCTTTCCCTGCTGAAGGCAAACCCCTTTTTCTCTAAGTTGACCCTCTCTGAAAAAGAGCATCAACAGTTTGGCGCCGTCTGTGGGAAGGAGGAAGTTGAAGGAGGAAGTTGAAGGGACCTTGCCGAACGCCAAGGCCCATGGAAATGCAAAATGGGTGGCCTCACAATTCAATTTTGCCCAGCCTCAAATCACCAAGCCTTGCCAAATTGGCCCAACCTCAAATGGCCCGGCTAAGTGAAAATTCACAAAAGCCTAGCTCACACCAACACTGCCGCAATCAAGGAGGCCTTTGGCAGAGCTGGGGTCTTTGGCAGAGCTGTTCTGGAGCGAATTTGGGGCTGGGACATTGCAGAAGTAAGCGGAGCTGGGCTTTCCTTGTGACCTGGGTGTCTAGATCAAATTTCTGAGGTAAGTTGCTGCCATTTTGGAGGCCTCCATTTTGTTGCTGCCCATCCCTTGCCGTTCGGCAAGTTGACTCTCCATATTTTGTAGGTGTTGGCAAAGTAGCTGAGTCAGGATGATTTGCGTTGTGCTTGGAGCTGGGCTTTTGCGAAGAGCTAAGCCATTTGGGGATTCGACAAGGGCTTGGGCAAGGTGAGAGCTGGGCTCTTCGGCAAGGGGGCCTAGGCCTTCGGTGACCTTTAGGTAAGACATTTTACCAAGCCCCCCAATTTGTTGCTACATAACCCTTGCCGTTCGGCAAGGGTGTTTGTAAATTCTCGAACGGCAAGGGTGTTTGTAAATTCTCGCTGGCTGACCCGATTAGAGCTGGGTCTTTCGGGGTTTGGAGCTGGGCAGTATGAAATTTCGTGGAGCTGGGCTCGGGAGGCTGGGTGCCTTGATCAAAAGTTTTGGTTTTTGTTTCGCTGTGCTCGTAGAGGCAGGTTCGGAGCTGGGCCACCTTGGATTATTTGGCAAGAAGTGAGAGCCTAGAGCTGGACCTTCGGTAGGTGTCCAAAAGGGTTTGGCCAATATTGGAGCTGGTCCCGTTTTGGCTAGGGGTTAGCTAGGATTTGGAGCTGGGCTCCGTGAGGTTTGGTTGTTTTGTGACTTGGGACCGTGAGCTGGGCCTTGGATAATCGACAAGGGCATAAGCTTTTGGCAACCTCCATAGCCAGGCTTGCCTTAGAGTTAGGCCTCCTTGATTGGGGTAGTGTTGGTGTGAGCTAGGCTTTTGTGAATTTTCACTTAGCCGGGCCATTTGAGGTTGGGCCAATTTGGCAAGGCTTGGTGATTTGAGGCTGGGCAAAATTGAATTGTGAGGCCACCCATTTTGCATTTCCATGGGCCTTGCCGAACGGCAAGGTCCATACGGATTCAAAACAAGGGCCACCCATCCTCGGTTCCACACTCACCTATGCTCAAACTCCAGCGAATCCGACAAGGACCTAGCTCACGGGATGACGACACTACGGACCCAGCTCCGGATCGTCTCGGAAACCATGCACTCAGACCCACTCCTTGCCGAAGACAGATCAGCCCTCCTTGGGTCCCTTGCCGAACGGCACCCGCCGCCCGGAATCCTTCCTCCTGGCAGCTGTCTCGGAGCCCAGCTCCACCTTCACGCTGAAACCGCTGGTTCCTGTGGCCAAGGAACTCGAAAGTCCTAGCTATCTCTTTGCCTAGCCCTTTTTAGTGCTCTACGGGATATCCCAGCTATCTCTTGCCGAACGGCAGTAGTTGGATGTTTCTGAGAAGCCTAAAATGAATCTTTTATATGCCTATAAGGAATGTTGTATTTGACTGTACTGCTTGATAATGTACAGTGGACACTTGGAGGACTTTTTTTAGGTATGCATTCCGCAATTCCAATCAAACATCTTCGTATTACTACTAGCGCAGAATGCAATGTGATATTTGGATGTTTCTGTCGGAATTTTAAAAAAGGTTTTAAAAATTTAACCGTTTTTATTTATTTAATTATTTTGGCCGTTTTATTTTATTTATTGTGGGGGTTATAAATATTTAATATTCAGGTTTTATTTCTATATTGAATGCCTTAATTTTCTGGTTGGTGAAGGTTACATGTTATTGGATGCTTATAAAAGGCCATCATCCTTCACATTTGAACAACCACAATACACCATCAGAATATCACATACCACAATCACCACCACAAACTAATTCTCTCCTTTTCTACTTTTATATATATATATATATATTCTGTACTTTATATTATTATTTTGGCAATGGTTCTGTGACTTGGATACCTATATCCGTCTATGAACGTGCTCATAGCGGATCTTGAGTTTGTGTACAAGGGGTCGTATCTTGGAGTGTTGTAGATTATCAGTACCTGCACGTAGGGAGGTTACAAAGGCTTTAGGACAACGTCTTTGACGTGTTTCACCGTACCAAACTCACCTTCTTACTTTTCATTTATTTTGCTTTTACTTATCTATTATTTTGTTTTCTTTAATTTCATTGTACCTTAAAAGCTTTCCAATTTGTTTATAAGTTATTTATAATATAAATGTTTTTGTATTTGGCTTTACGAAAAAGGAAAACTATATTTTTTTATAACAGTTTCATGTTTACTTCTTGAGCCACCAGGATTCATTATTTTATTTGTTGGAATTTGGTATCTGCAGTGCAAGAAACAACGCCAATTCGTATACTAAGGGAAATGATTCTGTTTAAATTTTAATATTTTAATATAATTTATTTAAAAAAAATTATTTTTTTATTATTTTTTATTCAATAATATGTGAAAATTATGTATATAATACGTGAATTTTTTTTTCTGTATTATTGAAAATTTAGTAAAAAATACATGTATTAAACATGACAAATTCTACGTATTGTACATTTACTTTTTAAAAAACATGAATTTTACCGAGTCTTTAAGATGTGTATGGTAAACGAAAGTATGATTGAAAAATATGTACGTAAGTGTATAACACGAGTATTAAACGAGACAATGCTAAATTCTTTATATGAGTAATAACTTTGGAAAAGTAAAAAAAATCAAAAAGGGATAATAGAAACTCGGGTAATTGTCTCATAGAAATGGATAATGCTCTAAACTACCCTTACGATAAACGAAAATCAATGAAAAAAATTATATAAAAAAACTTAGTACAATAATGCGGCTATACTCTTTAAATATAATAATATATTTATGGAGTATAGATGCGCGGCTATACTCCTTAAATATAATAATATATTTAACGAATATAGCCGTGGCTATGCTAATTATTTATAATTAAAAAATAAAAAATAAAAAGAAACCGCCTACCTATTAGGCGATTTATGAGTAGGCCAAAGTGACAATTGCATACTCCACTTCATAGTCATTTACCCTTTCTTCATCGAAAGGGGTGGATTTAACACGATTTCCAGTTTCTGTCTAGGCATGTGATTGTTTTTCTTGACTTTAATTGGCTTTTCTCATACAAGAAAAATGGATTTTATTATTTTTTTTATTTTTTTTGTTTTGGACTTCTTTTGTTAGGTCAAACGTTTTGGACATTAATTTTAAGGCTTAATTATTGATATGCCCCCTGTGCTTTATCAAAAATCTCAATTTACTCCATGTACTTGCAATTGGCTCACTTTACTCCCTGTGCTTTATGTTCATGTCCTTTGTTCCCCTATTCCGTCTAGTTCCTTACAACAGTCGTTAACTCTGTTTATATGGCATGGGTATATTAGTAAATTCAGACAAGTGGATCCAAATGGGGCCATTCCATGGTGGCAAATGGTTGGTTGACACATTTGTTGATTTTTTCGATTTAATTGGATTGTCCAGTAGGGTTTCACAATTAGCCATTTGGGGCAAAATTCATAAGGCTGCGAAATGGGAATCTTGGAATAGGGTTCCAACCTGTTGAAATTGGGTTGCGAATATTTGAATAGGGAAAGGTAGTGTGTTTGTCTGTCTTTGAATGTTGATTGAGTCAGTGAGAAGTGAAATCGGGGAAGAGAGTCTCACTGTTACTGGAGATTGAGGTTGTGCTTTGAATATTGATTGTTGTTAGACTTTAAGGCTACAAGAAGATGATGGTGCTAAGAGAAAATGGAGGTGTTCAACCCGTGTGTAAGTGGACGCATCCTTCACTTCTTTTTCTATATTTGGGCACATGGTTTTGGAGAGTTGCTAGTTTTTTAGTCTTTCTTCACATCTTTTTCTGGATTTGGGCATATGTGGTTTTAGGGTATTGCTAGGTTTTTTAGTCCTTCACTTCTTTTTCTTGATTTGGGCATGTGCTTTTAGTGCTGCTAGTTTTAGTCCTTGTTTATGTCTGTTTTTAGTCTAAAGATCTTTGGTTACGTTTTTATCATTTGTAATTATCTTTATGTTTTTTGTGGACATGGTATGTTTATTTCTTTATGTTTTTAGCAGGTAACTTTCTTCCTTTTTGTGGCTTTCGGCATGTGAGGTTCTTTTATTGTCTTTGTGTTTTGTGTGGTCTTTATTTTGTTTTTCTGTTACTTGTGGACCTAGCTTTGTGATCCCGTTTTTGTATGTATTTCATGGACTATTTGTGAGTTTGGTACATGGAGGAAAACTAGTGGGGAAAGGTTTGGGTGACATGCCATGGACTTACTTAGAGCATTTCCACCAAGAGGCCCCTTCCGACACCCAAGTCTTGACAGGGCAAGAGTTGGGCTCCACCAACCTGGGCAAGCCGAAAGGGAAGACTTGCATGGGTTGCTGTATGGGCAAGCTGATGTCATTGTGACATAAATTGGAAAAAAAAAGGAAAAAAAAAACCAAAAATTTCAGAATTTTTTTATAAATAAATAACTAGTCATATTCTTCACTTCCCATACCAAAACTCTATACAAATTCCTCTTCTCATTTCTCATACGAATAGTGGTTGTCCTTGGTTGCCATGGCAATGGGTGGAAAATCAACAAAAAAATTGCTAGGATAGGCACTATTCATATGAATAGTAATAACCCCTTGTCTTTTGCCATGACAAAAGAGTGGAAATGCTCTTAGGTGGTTCAATTAGCTGGTTTGATTATTGTGAGGCAGACTACATGTCTATATTAGAGCTGTAGGGAATGGCTAAAATTGTGGGATATGATAGTGGTGTGAGCCTTTATGGTGAGGACTTGTTTTCTGTTGTATTAATAATTGTCACAAATTAATGTGCTAATCAAAATGCTTGTCAATCTCTTCACTTTATATACATTAAGGAAAAATGGCAGAATATAGTGCCGGTTTGATCACTTCTCATTAGAAAATATTATCAAATTGTTGTCGTCAATGCAAAATCTTATGCAGTTCCATCAACGTGATTAGAAAACAATAAAGAATCTGAGGGAGAGGGTCATTTTGTGGAGCCAGACAAAACAAAAAAGAAAAGAGCAAGACGTGGCTGCTATAACATAGAAAATGGGTTGTGATGATGGTGATTTTTCTGTTCCACCACCTCCAGCCAATGTTTATTTATTTAGAAGATGTAACATATGATCATCATGCTTATCATAGAGACAGAGAAATGAAACCCTTAAGAAAAAGACAAGCAGAAAATGATTTGAAAGCATTTTAGAAGATGTAAAATGCTTATTTCTGCCTCTATATATGTGACTTGCCAAATGTCCAGTAGCATTTTAGGTGAAGTAAAAAAGAGTCTACATGAAAATAGAGAGGAAAACACCATTTTTCAGTGAATATGTGACAGTCAAGTGTTTTGGCTACGGTTTTTCATGTTTAGAAACCATTTTCATACCTTATATGTGACGAAATAAATATCCCAATTATGTGAACTGTCTTTAGAGACGGAAAAAAACGCCGCTAACCGTTTCTAAAACCATATAAGTCAACAAATTAAAACACCGCCTCTAAAACTCGGTAGACTCTTCAAATCTTACCCACTCACGATTACGTGAACTTTACATAAAAGACAAGAAAAAAAAAAAGCTTCCTTCCCTCTTCATACCTTTTATATATATATATTAAATTTCCTTCATCTTCAAAAAACTATTCACACATTTTACATGATAACATCATTAAAATCTTGTTCAAATTATTTAAACGGATACAACAAAATTCCCCAATCGTCCAACAGACAAGATCGGATGGGAAAGAGATTTAGTACAAGTTTTTCATGCATCCCCTAAGGTAATCCCTTTTTCTCTACTGAAATTTCTCGCGTGCTATCATTGCTCAATCCTTCAGGGAAATTCCGTAGTGCAGCCATTAAGGTAAGAGCTAAAGCTGGATTTGCTTTCTGAACATCCCCTATGCATCCAACCACCCATTGTACCAGAAGTTCACAAAAACATTAGATGGAAACTGATAAACCCTTTTGTTATCACGTCCAACTTCCATAATCCATCAAATGAGTGATACAATCATAGAAAATTTTGAGACGTAAATGTGAGGCCCTAAAAAAAAAAACGAAGGCAAGAATATATTACCCTACAAAAAATTACTGAATCCAACTATACAAGACTTAAAAGACATAGTATATGCAAGGTACGTATCACCACTAGCCAATCCTCCTAGTATGAGTGTCCCCCAAACAGAACTACCAATATGGAAATTTGGATTGCATATCCATTTTTGCTTCCCATACTCTATTCAATCTTTCAAGCCTTCATAGAACATAACCTGCAAAGTGAAGATGAAATCATAGTTTGAAACAAAACTAATATACTAAAAATAAGAACCAGATTAAGGAGAAAGAAACAGAATAATCACAACTAAATCTTTTAGAGGCCAAAAGGCTAACTGCCTATGATTCACCAATGACCAAAACAGGGTATTTCTGAATTTTCCTTTTTGGGACAAAATATAGCAATAAACAAGTGTGGGGAGTGCATGTTTTCTATTAGTAGTTGAAGTCGTATTTTGCCAGGGTTACGAGCAATTGTGGGAAAGGCCAAAAGAAAGGGGGTGATACATACAAACTATCACCATTCAACATACCATTAGACAAGGAAATGGCACATTGCTTGCAAGTGTGGATTAGTATCTGCCAAATGAAAGAAAAATTAAATCCGCAATTGTGCAAGAACATAATGGTCATAGTTCATACGCGTGCCAAATTACAACCAAATTGAACTAAGTATTTGAATGACACACCGCAATTGAGTTAAGTGGCCAACAGTCTTCAAGACTCCTAATTCCCTGATTCCCATCATGATGAAAAATAGAGGGAAGGAGGAGGGGAAGGGACCATAGCTAAGCTATGGAAACACTTGAGCAAGAAAATACAATGCCAGAACCAGTACTCGAAAATTGAGCTTTACCCATAAGCCATGAATATTAAATCAATACCTGACTTGCACAAAGATTAGCTTGGCTCTGAATACATGTCTTTACAGGTCCCCAAATGCCCTAAAAATAGTCTCCGCAGAAACTCCCTCTAAACTTCATTGACAGTGACAGATTAAAGAATTAATTGCAAGCTTCCCTCTAAACTTAATTATAAACGCATAAAACTAACAACTGTGATTTCAATTGCTTCAAATTTGAACTCGAGGCGGTCTGTATCGCCATTGAAAATTGAAATAGCACTCTCTCTCTCTCTGGTTAGGGGCGGATTTTGGCTTAACACGATTTCGAATTGTTTCATTTTTTTGGACAAAAATATTTTAATGGTATAGCCGGTCGGCTATACCATTTAAATAAATTCGAATATTTTAAACGTATAGCCGTTCGGCTATACGCCTTGAATATATTTATTCGAATATTTTACATGTATAGCTGATCAGCTATACGTTTAAAATAGATTCCAATATTTAACAGTATCACCGGACGGCTATAATCCTTAAATACATTTTACAAGTACAGCCAGACGGCAATACTGTATAGCTATAATTATTCGAATATTTTACAAGTATAGCCGCACGGCTATACTGTTTAGTAGAGATGATACACCACACTGCAAGCAACACCAAAACAATATGCCCACACGTGTGGAATAATACTTGGAGGGAGATGAAAATTAAAAAGAAAACATAAATATAGGCAAATTACCGATAACGAGTAGATGTTAACTGTTTAGACATGGTTTGAATTGCTACTTTAAAAACTAATGTAAGACCTTTTTTTTTTTGGGAGATAAAAAATTGGGATAAGAGTCAAAATTCATGTACCAAAAAAGAAAAAAAAGAAACCCAAGATCATTTTTTAGGAGTCAAAATTCATGTTACAATAAGTTACATATATGTTCAACATCATGATCTCATTGTCAAGAAATTTTTTCTTGTTCTTCTAGGGATGAGTTAGTCCACAAGAGTTCATCCGCTTGGGCAGAAGATAACAACAAAATAGAATATTACATAATATTTTGACAATTCTTATTGTGCTAACAGTGTTGGTAACAGGCTTAGAGCCTTAGACAATAATATGAAACTGCCCTCTCTATTTCTCAACTTAGAAGTGTGGAAAAGCAACAGCTTTGAGAGGACATTTTTTATGTGCGGTTATACCAGTGGTTTCTGTCATGTCTAAATCCTCCCCACTTGCTTCACCGGGCAATGCCCAATCGAACTTGTGCACGATGCTTGCTAAGGCAATTTCATTAACAGCCATGGCAAACTGAATTCCTGGGCAGACCCTCCTACCAGCTCCAAATGGAATCAATTCAAAGTCATTCCCTTTGTAATCTATACCATTATTCAAGAACCTTTCTGGCTCATACTCCTCTGGTTTGTCATACAGCTTGGGATCTCTTCCGATTTGCCATGCGTTGATGAAAACTTGTGTGTTGGCTTTAATGTTGTAGCCATTTACTTCTACATCTCGGGTTGACATCCTGGGAACTAGTAATGGTGCTGGTGGATGTAAGCGAAGAGTCTCCTTCGTCACTGCCTTCAAGTAGTGCATTTCAACCAAATCATCCTCTGTAATTACGTCTGTTTTGTTTCCAACTATTCCCCTTACCTCATTCTGCAATTTGTTCATGACCCTTGGATGCCTTAAAAGCTCAGTCATTGCCCACTCTAAGGCAGTATATGTGGTATCAGTGCCAGCAGCAAACATGTCCTAAAAACAATTGATTGGATTAAGATATTTAACCTTTTGCAAAATATATATGCTACTATATGTTACACCTCTTTCACAAAAAACATACACACACATGCACATATATATATATATATATAGAGAGAGAGAGAGAGAGAGAGAGAGAGAGAGATAGTTACCAAGATGATACCCTTTACGCTAACTCTATCAATAGGAATGCCAGCCAAGTTTTCTTTCTGAATTGCAAGCAAAATGTCCAAAAAATCCTTTTGGTCATCATCTCCACTCCTTGAACTGTGGTTCATATGCTCTTGAACCACTGTATCTATAAAGTCATCCAACTGCTTAGCCACCTTGTCTAACTTGGCTCCCAAACCATTGACATGGCTCAACCAAGAAAGCCATGGGACATAGTCCCCAATATTAACAGTTCCCAGTAAGTCACCGAACTCCCCTAAAATCTCCTTAAACATCCTCCCACTTTCCCCGCCTTCCCCTTCACTGTACTTCCTCCCTAGAGCCACTCTACACACTACATCATTAGTAAGCCTCACAAACATTTCGCTTAGATTCAAAACAGATGATGATGAGTCCTTTATGTTTCTGATCATGGATTTGGTTTCCTCTTCCCTCACAGAACGAAAAGACCGAACCCTTCTGTTGCTCAAAAGATTTAAAACACATATACTTCTCACCTGCCTCCAATACTCACCATACGGCGCACTTGCGACATCTTTGTAGTTGTAGAGAAGCTTCTCAAACATGGTGGACTTGGGTCGATCAGAAAACGTGAGGTCATGAATTTTCAAGATCTCCCGGGCTGCCTCAGCTGAAGAGACAACAAGCACCGGGACACTTCCAAAGTGGAGAAGCATGAGAGGGCCATGGCGTTGGGACAAGGCTTCAAGTGAGCGATGAGGGTACGAGCCTATCTGGTGAAGGTTTCCAATGATAGGTAGCTTTGGCGGAGAAGGTGGTTGTGTTGATTTTTGGGTGGTGGTTTTAGTCGAAGAGTACCATGTGTATAGGAGGACAAGGAAAATGGCCAGCAGTGTGAAGGCCAAAGGTTGCAAAAAGGAGGAGCTTTCATTTAGCTCTTGCAATACTTGGAAGGGATTTAGCATCTTCAGAGTTGGTACAAAGAAACGAATGTGTTGTGTGTGTTTAAATAAAGGCAAAGATCATCCTAGTACTATGCAGAACAGAACCGTCCATGATTCCATAAGAAAGCAAAACATATAAAGTTGAAACCGCCGACAAATTTGAGTCACATACAAATTTGCATGTGAGCATTCTGATGGTCTATTTGTAAGAGGAGAGCCACTTGGGCAGAAGACAACAAAAAAATTTAGATGACTTTGGAAAGCCTAGAGTGTTTGGCTTTTGACTTAAGTTTCTATCTTGTAAATAGGAAAATTCGAGGTAGAAATTTTTTTTCGTGTAGATCCAAAAGACTTTAAAATCAAAATCCAATCTAACATCCAAGTTTAATGGAAAATACATCTTATCTAAGGATGACAGTCTAAATTCCTATAATTTAATTATTATTTAAAAAAAAAATCAAGGAACAATATAAAGAATCATTTTATATAGGCTAAGCATGACTCAGAATTTCATGATCTTATGCTTCCTTTTGGCTTCTGTTATGAAACTTTGAGGTGACGCTGCAGAAAGCCCTTCACAATCTTAAAATAGGAAAGCAGGAATTCTCAGAAAACCTTGGCGCTGCCATAGCTACAAGAGGAGCTTTTCTGTGGATGACAAGGCCAGTACATTCTGTCATGCTTATATCCTCAGCTCTTGCTCCACCAGGCAATGTCCAGTCAAACTTGTGCACAAGATTTGCTAACACAATCTCATTAGTGATCATGGCAAACAAGGGTCCTGGACAGCCCCTTCTTCCAGCTCCAAATGGAATTGGAAGTCATGGCCTTCGAAATCTACAGAAGAGTTCAAAAACCTCTCTGGTTCATCCCACATTGAGGGGTCTCTTACAATTGTCCAAGCATTGATCAGGACCATGGTTCTTGCTGCTATGTCATAACCCTTTATTTTAGCCTCTTGAGTTGATTCGCGAGGAACCAATAACGGTATGAATAGTGGTCGCCCTTGGTTGCCATGACAATGGGTGGAAAACCAACAAAAAAATTGCTAGGACAGGCACTATTCATATGAATAGTAGTAACTATTTCCTTCCCTTGCCTTTTGCCATGGCAAAAGAGTGGAAATGCTCTTAGGTGGTTCAGTTAGCTGGTTTGATTATTGTGAGGCAGACTACATGTCTATATTAGAGCTATGGGGAATGGCAAAAATTATGGGATATGATAGTGGTGTGAGCCTTTATAGTGAGGACTTGCTTTCTGCTGTATTAATAATTGTCACAAATTAATATGCTAATCAGAATGCTTGTCAATCTCTTCACTTTATAATATACATTATTAAGGAAAAATGGCAGAATATAGTGCCGGTTTGATCACTTCTCATTAGAAAATATTATCAAATTGTTGTCGTCAATGCAAAATCTTATGCAGTTCCATCAACGTGATTAGAAAACAATAAAGAATCTGAGGGAGAGGGTCATTTTGTGGAGCCAGACAAAACAAAAAAGAAAAGAGCAAGACGTGGCTGCTATAACATAGAAAATGGGTTGTGATGATGGTGATTTTTCTGTTCCACCTGCTCCAGCCAATGTTTATTTATTTAGAAGATGTAACATATGATCATCATGCTTATCATAGAGACAGAGAAATGAAACCCTTAAGAAAAAGACAAGCAGAAAATGATTTGAAAACAAAAGATTACTCCAAATACATTAAGCACGTGTAATCAAGGGCGGATCCATGAAGGGGCTCAACTAGGCTTTAGCCCAGTGCTAGTTTTGCACTTTAGTCTTTATTGTACAATAGTATCCGCTATAATTAAATATTAGCTCACTTATCTTTTAGAATTCAGCCTATCCTAGCCACCTAAATCAAATTTTATTTTCTTCTACCCACAGAAATCCTACCATATTTTATATAAAAAATATATAATCCTATCATATAATATTAATTAGCCCAAAAATTCATGGTTATAAAAGATCTCCCTGAAAAAAAAAATTTAGCCAATTCCCAAAAAAATTCTTGGGTCCGCCATTGCGTGTAATGTTGGGTTGGGGTAGGTGCAATGAAACTTATTGCTGCCTCTATGTGACGTGCCAAATGTCCAGTAGCATTTTCGGTGAAGTAAAAAAGAGTCTACATGAAAATAGAGAGGAAAACACCATTTCAGTGAATATGTGACAGTCAAGTGTTTTGGCTACGGTTTTTCATGTTTCGCAACGATTATTATACCTTATGTGACGAAACAAATATCCCAAATAATGTCTTTAGAGACCGAAAAAAACACCGCTAACCGTTTCTAATACCATATAAGTCAACAAATTAAAACACCGCCAGACCCTTCAAATCTTATCCACTCATGATTACGTGAACTTTACATAAAAGATGAGAAAAAAAAGCTTCCTTTCCACTTTGTACCTTATATATATTAAATTTCCTTTGTCTTAAAAAAAATATTCACACATTTTACATGATAACATCATTAATATCTCGTTCAAATTATATAATTAGATACAACAAAATTCCCCAATCTGTCCAACAGACAAGATCGGATGGGGAAGAGATTAAGTTTTTCATGCATCCCCTTCGTAAAGGTAATCCCTTTTTCTCTACTGAAATTTCTCGCTTGTTGCTCAATCCTTCTGGGAAATTCCGTAGTGCAGCCATTAAGGTAAGAGCTAAAGCTGGATTTGCTTTCAGAACATCCCCTGTGCATCCAACCACCCATTGTACCAGAAGTTCACAAAAACATTAGATGGAAACTGATAAACCCTTTTGTTATCACGTCCAACTTCCACAATCCATCAAATGAGTGATACAATCATAGAAAATTTTGAGACGTAAATGTGAGGCCCTAAAAAAAAAAACAAAGGCAAGAATCTATTACCCTACAAAAAATTACTGAATCCAACTATACAAGACTTAAAAGACATAGTATAAGCAAGGTACATATCACCACTAGCCAATCCTCCTAGTATGAGTGTCCCCCAAATAGAACTACCAATATGGAAATTTGGATTGCATATCTATTTTTGCTTCCCATACTCTATTCAATCTTTCAAGCCTTCATAGAACATAACCTGCAAAGTGCAGATGAAATCATAATTTGAAACGAAACTAATATACTGAAAATAAGAACCAGATTAAGGAGAGAGAAATAGAATAATCACAACTAAATCTTTAGGAGGCCAAAAGGCTAACTGCCTATGATTCACCAATGACCAAAACAGGGTACTTCTGAATTTTCCTTTTTGGGACAAAATATAGCAATAAACAAGTATCGGGAGTGCATGTTAAGAAGTAGAAATCCTATGAGAAATATATTTTCTATTAGGAGTTGAAGTCGTATTTTGCCAGGGTTACCGAGCAATTGTGGGAAAGGCCAAAAGAAAAGGGGTGATACATACAAACTATCACCATTCAACATACCATTAGACGAGGAAATGGCACATTGCTTGCAAGTGTGGACTAGTATCTGCCAAATGAAAGAAAAATTAAATCCGCAATTGTGCAAGAACATAATGGTCATAGTTCATACGCATGCCAAATTACAACCAAATTGAACTAAGTATTTGAATGACACACAACAATTGAGTTAAGAGGCCAACAGTCTTCAAGACTCCTAATTCCCTGATCCCCATCATGATGAAAAATAGAGGGAAGAGGAGGAGGGAGGGACTATAGCTAAGCTATGGAAACACTTGAGCAAGAAAATACAATGCCAGAACCAGTACTCGAAAATTGAGCTTTACCCATAAGCCATGAAATATTAAATCAATACCTGACTTGCACAAAGATTAGCTTGGCTCTGAATACATGTCTTTACAGGTCCCAAATGCCCTAAGAATAGTCTCCACAGAAACTCCCTCTAAACTACATTGACAGTGACAGATTAAAGAATTAATTGCAAACTTCCCTAAACACCCACCAAACTAGATTGTAGAAACCACTACACCAAACTTGTAATTTTGTTAATTATTATATTATATTATTTATTAACAACAATCAAAATTAATAAAAAAAAAAAAAAAAAAAAAAAATCATTTACATTTCATATATCACACAAACACAAAATTGCAAATAAATACAGAAATTGCAACAAAAATACAATGTAGATATCAATTATGTTAAAACAAAAATAAAAAACAAAAACGAAAACAACTACAAAAACAATTGTAATTAAATGAAAACTGCAATGCATTTTCCAGTTTCCAAAAGTCCAATTTTGAGTTCCCTTGCTCTTAGGTAGTTCTACTCTTCTCTTGCCCATCCAATTCCTCATATGGGTAGCCTCTACTCTTCAAATTGGTGAGGTTGAAGGCCAAGGAAAGAGCAAAAATCCAATTGTAATTAAATGAAAATTGCAATGCAATTTCCAAACGACCAATTTTGAGTTCTCTTGCTCTTGGGTAGTTCTACTCCTCTTGCCCACCCAATTCCTCATATGAGTAGCCTCTACTCTTCAAATTGGTGAGGTTGAAGGCCAAGGAAAGAGCAAAAATCCAATTGTAATTACCAAAACTGCAATGCAGTTTCTGAAACTGCAATGTAGTTTGTGCAAAACTACAATGCAGAACCTGTATAAAATTTTACTGAACTAAAGCTTAAATGGTATTGCGAAATATCATATGACAGTGATGGCATCAATCATATCCAAATCAAGACAAATGCATAGTAAGTGAGCTTATAATAAGAAGTTGCAGTTAAAAAATAGTAATTCAATAGCATCAATTATAAACTATGTAAAAAACTATAATTCAATGAGAAAGTCGGGGTGTGAAGGGCACCAACCTGGGCCAATCAATTATAATTACCAACTCATATACACAACTAAAATGGCACATGTGGGTAGTGTCCAGCAGCATATCCAGCAAATTATGAAAATAGCCCTTTGTCATTAGACTCATCTTTGTTGTCTCTTCCACCGTCCATCTTACTTCAACTTGTAACTAATGGCTAATGCACACATAAAAATCATAATTCAAAAAATCAGTTGGGAAACCAAGAACCATAAGTAATCAAATAGAAACAAGCACATTAACAGCCACTAAGCAACCCCACATCATATCATAGTCTGAATGGTGCCCAATATATGCAAAGTTCACTAGTTTAACACAGTCCAACCAAGAAAAACACAGAGACTATGTTGCAGAGAAGATTCACAAAATTAGCCAAACACATCGGTCATTAGAGAAAGGGCTTGGGGCGTTATTTCATCAAAGACCATGATCTTTTCTTCAGCTGTGGCAGTTTCAAGTTTCTGAAACAAACTGAACGCTTTAGAAAGATTATGCTGCTGAAGCTGTTGTGGATTACTATTTTGTTGCTGGTGTAAATGAGCCTTTTTAGCTACCAAAAAAAAAAAAAAAAAAAAAAAAAAACAAAAAAACATCTCAAGCTAAAGGACAATGAACTTTTTGATAACATGTGGAAGTACGAAGGGGAGAAACACCACCAAATCGACTACAACTCTAAAACTGCAATGCAGTTTGTGCAAAACTACAATGCAAAATTTGTATAAAATTTCAATGAACTAAAGTTTAAATACTATTGCAAAATGGTACTTAAAATATTATATGATAGTGATGGCATCAACCAATATCGGTGCTGTTCTTTTATGTCTTCAAATACTAATCCCTCCTGTATGAGACCTACTTTTGTATAGCTCAGTTTGCTTGAATCTCAGAACCACAACCCGCCGTTAACAACTCAAACTGCGACCCCACTTCCATGAGAAAAGATTGAGATGTGAAAGACACTAATAACTGGAACGAAATGCAAGATTCTCCAAATTAAATAACACCATCTACACATGTGAATGGAACAGAAAAAAGAAAAAAAAGAAAAAAGGATTCAGTTGTGTCCATGCATTCCAAGTATTCGAAAAAAAGTTATTCAACATGAACTCCTCCTGAAACATTAGACTAAGTATTGAGACCAACACAACAATCGCGACCAAGAAGCAAATCGTTATTAGGGTTCAGATAGGGTTTTGACGTACCAGAATGAGATCAAATAGGGTTGACTAGTCATTGAGCTCGACCCTGATCTTGAACTCAGCAAGATAGCGATCGTTATCGCCCTTCATCTTCAGTTAGAAGACCTTGTTGTTGCCGGTGAAGGCCGAAGGGATGAGCATCGAGTCAAGCAGCTTGAGAATTCCATCGCAGGTGAAGGCCGTGGTTGTCAAAGCGTCGTTTTTACAGGGAGAGAGAGAGAGAGAGATATTTGGGCCCAGTTTGGGATTGCTGTCACTTTTATAAAAAGTTGTTTCTGCTGTGCTTTGAAAATAATTAGCTGTAAAGTAAAGCAGCACCATGTTTGGTAAACAATATTTTTAAAGTGATGTTAGTACAAAAAGCAGTGTCAAAATCGTTTGGTAAATTTTAATATAAAATTGTTGTAACTGTGAATAATAACTAAAATAAACATGATGTTAAAAGTGTTATGTACTAATCATATGGTGGTAATGGTAGTGGTAGTGATTGAGTGGAGGTAGTGGTGGCGATGAAGGTGGAGTTGGTGATTGTAGTTGTGGTGGTGGTGGTGGTGGGGATGGCGATTGTGGAGGTGGTGGTGGTGGTGATAGTTGCAGCATGGTGGTTGTTGTGGTGTTGGTTGTGGAGGTGGTAGTGGATGTGGAGGTTTTGGAGGAGGAGGAGGAGGTGGTGGTGGTGGTGGTGGAGGTGGTGGTGATGGTGGTGGAGGAGGTGGTGGTTGTGGTGGTGGTGGCGGAGGATGAGGAGGAGAAGGATGTGGTGGAGGTAGTGAATGTGGTGGTGCAAGTGGGGAGTTGGATGTGGAAGTGAAGGTGGTGTCATTTTTTAAAATGAATGATGGTATTTTGGGAATTAAAAAAATTCATTAAAAGTCCATCTCTACTTCTTTTGAAAGCAGCTTTGAAAATCAACCCAAAGCCTGTTTTTAAAAGTTGCTGTCAAAAAGCCATTGCTTTTAAAATAATCGGGATATTTTTTTTTTTACTAAACACCTTAAACTGCTTAACTTTAAAGTGAAGCAGGTTTTTGCCCAAAAAAAGTAATCCCAAACGGGGCCTTGATCTGATCAAAAGGAAACCAACGAATTTGGGGCTTTTAAATGAAAATGATATAATTATCTTTTCAGTGATTAATATAAAGTGGGCCAACAAATCTAAGCCTCTTTTTTGGCCTAATCCAAAATAACAATTCTTTCCTATGTATTAAAACCCAAACAAAAATACCTAATATCTCAAATACTAATTAGTAAAGTTACTTATGTTTAATACCTAATTTTTCTAAGATTTTAATAGTATAACCGTGCGGCTATACTCCTTAAATATATTTTACATGTATAGCCGCACGGCTATACTGTTTAGTAGAGATGATACACCACACTGCAAGCAACACCAAAACAATATGCCCACACGTATGGAATAATACTTGGCGGGAGATGAAAATTAAAAAGAAAACATAATATAGGCAAATTACCGATAACGAGTAGAAGTTAACTATTTAAACATGGTTTGAATTGCTACTTTAAAAACTAGTGTAAGACTTCTTCTTCTTCTTTTTTTTTGGGGAGATACAAAATTGGGATAACAGTCAAAATTCATGAACCAAAAAAGAAAAAAAAGAAATCCAATATCATTTTTTAAGAGTCAAAATTCATGTTACAATAAGTTACATATATGTTCAACATATATATTCGAATATTTTATAAGTATAGCGGAGCGGCTATACTGTTTAGTAGAGATGATACACCACACTGCAAGCTAGTGGCGGTTCCAGGATTCGAAAGCCGACCGGCCAAAACTTATGTACTAAACTTGACAGTACAAGTGAATTTCATTAATAAACATAAAAAGATACACATAGTAAGAAGGGACGTAAGGAGCCATACCCTCAAATGCATCTATATCTACAAATACAAAAACTAAAATAAAAATAAAAAGTAAATGCAATGCAATGCAATACAAAACAACATTATTTAAATCTAAAATTTAATCCTACGAGGCTTAGAACTCTTAAATTCCTCAATTATTGATGCATTGTCAATAGTATTGGCAAACTCTCTTTCAATGTGGAGGATCATACAATTAGCAAGAAATTCATCACTTATGGTGCTTCAGAGTCGATTCTTAATAATTCTCATACATGAGAAAGCTCGTTCTGTTGTTGCTGTAGAAACAGGAAAAGTCAACATCAACCGAAACAACCTGTCAATCAAATAGTAGTTTTTCCCCAAAGTTGTTCTTAGCAACTAAATACTCAAGCCAACAAAATTGGCCAAACCATTTTTTATTAAATCAACGTAAGATTTTCCTTTCTAAGTGGCTTGAATAATCTTTTAACTCGGGTTGACATGGCCCTAAAAGAATATATTCTCTTCGCACATTATCTTGTCCATTCACCGAATATTTGCATATTATACGACGTAATCTTGGATTACGTTCAAGATAATTGATATTCAAACCTTAATAATCATTGATTCTTTGACTCTCAACTCTTTTAACTTGAGGCTCAACAATGAGAGACTTTGGAAGATTTTGCTCATCACAAATTAGAGTAGATAAAGAAGTGCTAGGTATTGTGTGTTAGATGATGACCCATCATTCTTTTTCTTGAAAAAAGACAACAAATTCTTTATTTTCTTGGGGTTCCGATTGTGAGACGGAGAGAAGTTGAAGTTGTGTTGATATTTTGCAGAGGAGAAAATTTCTATTTTTCTGACTTGAGGCTGCACTGCACGGGATCCCTTTGATTCTTGGCTGGCTGCATATGTTGTTTAAGTGTAGGATTGAAATGGGCTAGGCTGGTTGCATTGTAATTTTTTTGCCAACATTTTGGGCTGGGCATGATTGAGATAAACTAGGCTGGCTGCATTATTTTATTTTATTTTTTGCCAAAATTTTGGGCCAGGCATGAGCCCTGTTGAAATGTAAGTAGTGAGCTGATAGGAAATGGAATTAAGCCTGGTCAGCTAATGGTGTATTCTCTCAGTCAATAAAAATGACTGGTGTTAGGCTTTAGTAGTAAAAGGTTTATAAGTCACGTGTAATGTTTTTATTAAGCAGTTATAGATGAAGGGCTGAGATACAAAGTGATGTAATTGTATCCAGCTAGACATATAGCTCACAGATAGCGTGCTCATTCAAAATATACACAGCACAGTGCAATAGAAAAAAACTCATACGATTTGATTCATTCTCTGCTCTCTCTTATCTCTGCATTCTTTCTTCTCTCTCAACCTATTCAAAACTCTAACATGGTATCAGAGCCAGGTTGGGTCTTTTGATCTGGGCGTAATCTGTGAGGTCACTGAGCTCAATCGAAGCTCAGCTCAGCAACTGAGAAGAAATTGCTTGAATCGGACCAAAAGATGGCTGGATCTGGAAGTTCTGAAGTAAGAACCCCGATCTTCTCCGGTGAGAACTACGAGTTCTGGAGGATTAAGATGACAACGATTTTCAAATCGCTTGGGCTATGGAGTCTGGTAGAAAAGGGGATTCCAACTCCTGATTCGAAGAAGAAGAAAACGGCTGAAGAGGCATCAGAAGAAGAACTTGATGCAGAGATGATCGCTGTGCTCATGAGGGACGCGAAGGCTCTGGGCATCATCCAAAACGCAGTTTCTGACCAGATCTTCCCTCGGATTGCCAACGCTGACTCAGCCAAGATGGCGTGGAATCTGCTTCATGGTGAATATCACGGTGGTGATCAAGTCAGGTCAGTGAAACTTCAGAATCTCAGAAGAGAGTTTGAGTATATGAGAATGCGTGAAGGTGAACAATTAACTGCATATCTTACTCGGTTGAATGAGTTGATAAATCAAATAAAAACATTTGGAGAAGTGTTATCAAACGAGAGGCTGGTTCAAAAGGTATTAATTAGTCTTAGTAGAGTCTATGATCCTATCTGTTTGGTGATTGAAAATACAAAGAGTTTGGAGACTATTGAATTGCAGGAGGTTATTGCAATATTGAAGAGTCAAGAGCAGCGGTTTGATATGCATAATGTGGATACAGCTGAGAAGGCTTTTGGTTCTTTCTCAGTTGAAACAAAAGGGCAGAATAAGAATGGTTCTCAAACTGGTTCTGCTAAATCTCAGAAGAATTGGAAGTCTAACAATAAACCCTGGGAGTCTAGGCAGAAGCCACAACAATCTGGTGCTGCACAGACCTCAAATGGATCACAATATGTGCATCAAGATGGAGTGAAGCCTCAATGCAAAGTTTGCTCGAAATTCCATTTTGGGGAATGTAGATATAAGGGCCAATCTAAGTGTTATAAGTGTGATAGATTTGGACATTGGGCTAGAGATTGTACTGCAAACAAAGGAGTGCAGAAAGCAAACAATGCAAGTCAAGTAGAAGTAAGAGGAAATCTGTTTTTTGCTAATTGTGCAATTTCAGAGAAGAGTGCAAATGGAGAATGGTATGTAGACAGTGGCTGCAGTAATCATATGACTGGGAACAAGGAGCTGTTAATTGACATAAATCCAAGTGTCACAGGCAAGGTACAAATGCCAACAGGGGAGCTTGTAAGCATAGCTGGCATGGGCACTTTAGTGCTTGACACAAACTCTGGTACAAAGTTTATCAAGGAGGTCATGTATCTGCCTGGTCTGAGAGAGAACTTGTTAAGTGTGGGTCAAATGGATGAACATGGTTACCATTTGGTGTTTGGAAGCAATATGTGCAGTATTTTTGATGATGCTTCACTGGAAAACCTTATTATGAAGGTGGAAATGAGAAAGAATAGATGTTATCCATTGTCTTTGTCTTCAAATACCTATGTTGCATTAAGAGCTGGTGTGTCTCATTTTACCTGGATTTGGCACAAGAGAATGGGGCATTTACATTTAAAAGGGCTGAACCAGCTCAAGGAAAAGGAGATGGTGCATGGTCTGCCACATCTGGAAGCTGTAGATGGAGTCTGTGAAGGATGTCAGTTTGGGAAACAACATAGAGAATGGTTTCCTAAGAACCAAGCATGGAGGGCAAGTACACCCCTTGAGCTAATACACATGGACTTGTGTGGACCAATGCAAACTGAGTCCCTGGCAGGTAATAAATATTTTATGCTGCTCATAGACGATTTTACAAGGATGACTTGGGTCTACTTCTTGAGATACAAGTCGGATGCACTAAATTGTTTTCGAAAATTCAAGTCTATGGTGGAGTTGCAGAGTAGTTACAAAGTGAAATGTGTTCAAAGTGATAGAGGGGGTGAGTTCACATCTAGTGAATTCAATAAACTGTGTGAAGATGGAGGAATTCAAAGACAGTTCACCATGGCTTACACACCCCAGCAGAATGGAGTGGTAGAAAGGAAGAATAGGACAGTGGTGGAGATGGCTAAGGCTATGCTACATGAAAAGGGGTTGCCTTATTACTTATGGGCAGAAGCGGTACACACTGCAGTGTATCTGTTGAACAGGTGTCCTACCAAGGCTCTTAGAGACAAGACTCCTTTTGAAGCATATAGCACAAGAAAACCAGGTGTTGCTCATTTGAAGGTATTTGGCAGTGTGTGTTTTGTGCATAAACCAGAAGAAAATAGACAAAAATTGGATGCCAAAAGCACAAGGGGAGTGTTTGTTGGATATGCAACATGTGAGAAGAGTTATAGGGTGTTTGATCCTGTCACTAGAAAACTTATACTGTCAAGAGATGTTGTTTTTGATGAAGGGGAAACCTGGAATTGGAAAGAAGCAGCTGAAAATTCTGTGATAATGGTGAATGAAGAAGAACAACCTAGGAATTCTCAAGCGGAAGTGTTTGAGACACCTGCAGGAAATAGAAATTCTGGTTTCAGACCTTTAGACTCAGTTTCTTATGGAGGATCAAGCAAGGCAAGCAGCAGATTGGAAGACACTCAGAACTTTGATCACACTCCTTTGAAATGGAGGAAGTTGGATGATATTTTGGCACAATGCAATCTGTGCACAATGGAGCCTGAGAAGTTTGAAGAAGCTGTGAAGGATGAGTCATGGATGAAGGCAATGAAAGATGAGTTGAACATGATAGAAAAGAATGATACATGGGAGCTTGTTGACAGGCATATGGATAAACCAGTGATTGGGGTTAAATGGGTGTTTAAAACTAAGCTAAATCTGGATGGTTCAGTTCAGAAAAATAAGGCAAGGTTAGTAGCTAAAGGATACTCTCAGAAACCAGGGGTGGACTACAATGAAACGTTTGCACCTGTGGCTAGATTAGACACAATCCGAACTCTAATTGCACTAGCTGCACAGAAGAGTTGGCAGCTGTACCAATTAGATGTTAAGTCAGCTTTTCTAAATGGTGTCTTAGAGGAAGAAGTGTATGTAGATCAGCCGGAGGGATTTGTGATAAAGGGGAGTGAAAGCAAGGTTTACAAGCTGCACAAAGCTCTCTATGGCTTGAAACAGGCTCCAAGAGCTTGGTATAGTGAAATTGATGGTTATTTTGCTGAGTGTGGTTTCACAAAGAGCCAAAGTGAAGCTACTCTTTATGTCAAAACAAGAGGTGAAGCAAGCATATTGATAGTATCCATTTATGTAGATGATATTGTCTACACTGGAAATGATCAAGAGATGTTAGAAGACTTCAAGAAGGACATGAAGGAGAAATATGAAATGACTGATCTGGGGCTCTTGCATCACTTCTTGGGAATGGGAGTCATTCAAACACCAACAAGCATATTCATTCATCAGAAGAAATATGCAACAACTCTGTTAAACAGATTTGGTTTGAGTGAGTGTAAACCGGTGTCTATTCCACTAGTTACCTCAGAGAAACTAAGTAAGGATGATGGGAGTGGTTTGGCAAGTGAAGAGCAATATAGAAGGATTGTTGGGAGTCTGCTGTATCTCACAGCTACTAGACCCGACATTATGTTTGCAGCTAGTCTGCTTGCAAGGTTTATGCATTGTCCCACTAGCAAACACCTTGGAACAGCAAAACGTGTCCTTAGATATGTAAAAGGAACCTTGGATTATGGTCTGGAGTATGTGAAAGGAAAAGGGGCAGTTCTAATTGGCTATTGTGACAGCGATTGGAGTGGCTCAGTGGATGATAGCAAGAGCACATCTGGATACGCTTTTTCTTTTGGGAGTGGAGTGTTTGCTTGGGCCTCAGTCAAGCAAAATTGTGTTGCACTCTCTACTGCAGAAGCTGAATACATCAGTGCCTCTGAAGCAACAACACAAGCTATTTGGTTGAGATTTGTCCTAGAAGACTTTGGAGAACTTCAAACAGAAGCTACACCTCTCCACTGTGACAACATTTCAGCTATTGCCATTACAAGGAATCCTGTTTTCCATCAGAAAACCAAGCATATTGATCGGAGGTATCATTTTATTAAAGATGCTTTGCAAGAAGGAACTGTGGATTTGATCTATTGCCCTACGAATGAGCAGCTAGCAGATATCTTTACAAAGGCTTTGGCCAAGGATCGGTTCAGCTATCTTAGAGAGAAGCTTGGTGTGAAATCAGCTCACAACTTAAAAGGGAGTGTTGAAATGTAAGTAGTGAGCTGATAGGAAATGGAATTAAGCCTGGTCAGCTAATGGTGTATTCTCTCAGTCAATAAAAATGACTGGTGTTAGGCTTTAGTAGTAAAAGGTTTATAAGTCACGTGTAATGTTTTTATTAAGCAGTTATAGATGAAGGGCTGAGATACAAAGTGATGTAATTGTATCCAGCTAGACATATAGCTCACAGATAGCGTGCTCATTCAAAATATACACAGCACAGTGCAATAGAAAAAAACTCATACGATTTGATTCATTCTCTGCTCTCTCTTATCTCTGCATTCTTTCTTCTCTCTCAACCTATTCAAAACTCTAACAAGCCCAGCCAACCAATAGCTGAAAACGCCCCTGCTGCAAGCAACATAAATATAGGCAAATTACCAATAACGAGCAGATGTTAACCGTTTAAACACGATTTGAATTGCTACTTATAAAAATAATAATAATTTAAAAACTAATGTAAGACTCTTTTTTTCTTTTATTTTTTTGAGATACAAAATTCATGTACCCAAAATGAAAAGATAAAAATAAACCCAGCAGGATCATTTTTTAAGAGTCAAAATTCATGTTGCAATAAGTTTCAACATCATGATCTCATTGCCAAGAAAATTGTTGTTCTTTCTTCTGGCAGGGATGAATTAGTCCACAAGAGTTCATCCGATTGAGCAGAAGACAACAACAAAATAGAATATTACATAATATTTTGACAATTCTTATTGTGCTAACAGTGTTGGTAACAGGCTTAGAGCCTTAGACAATAATATGAAACTGCCCTCTCTATTTCTCAACTTAAAAGTGTGGAAAAGCAACAGCTTTGAGAGGACATTTTTTATGTGCGGTCATACCAGTGGTTTCTGTCATGTCTAAATCCTCCCCACTTGCTTCACCGGGCAATGCCCAATCGAACTTTTGCACGATGCTTGCTAAGGCAATTTCATTAACAGCCATGGCAAACTGAATTCCTGGGCAGACCCTCCTACCAGCTCCAAATGGAATCAATTCAAAGTCATTCCCTTTGTAATCTATACCATTATTCAAGAACCTTTCTGGCTCATACTCCTCTGGTTTGTTATACACCTTGGGATCTCTTCCGATTTGCCATGCGCTGATGAAAACTTGTGTGTTGGCTTTAATGTTGTAGCCATTTACTTCTACATCTTGGGTTGACATCCTGGGAACTAGTAATGGAACTGGTGGATGTAAGCGAAGAGTCTCCTTCGTCACTGCCTTCAAGTAGTGCATTTCAACCAAATCATCCTCTGTAATTACGTCTGTTTTGTTTCCAACTATTCCCCTTACCTCATTCTGCAATTTGTTCATGACCCTTGGATGCCTTAAAAGCTCAGTCATTGCCCACTCTAAGGCAGTATATGTGGTATCAGTGCCAGCAGCAAACATGTCCTAAAAACAATTGATTGGATTAAGATATTTAACCTTTTGCAAAATATATATGCTACTATATGTTACACCTCTTTCACAAAAAACATACACACATGCACACACACACACACATATATATATATATAGAGAGAGAGAGAGAGAGAGAGAGAGAGATAGTTACCAAGATGATACCCTTTACGCTAACTCTATCAATAGGAATGCCAGCCAAGTTTTCTTTCTGAATTGCAAGCAAAATGTCCAAAAAATCCTTTTGGTCATCATCTCCACTCCTTGAACTATGGTTCATATGCTCTTGAACCACTGTATCTATAAAGTCATCCAACTGCTTAGCCACCTTGTCTAACTTGGCTCCCAAACCATTGACATGGCTCAACCAAGAAAGCCATGGGACATAGTCCCCAATGTTAACAGTTCCCAGTAAGTCACCGAACTCCCCTAAAATCTCCTTAAACATCCTCCCACTTTCCCCGCCTTCCCCATCACTGTACTTCCTCCCTAGAGCCACTCTACACACTACATCATTAGTAAGCCTCACAAAAATTTCGCTTAGATTCAAAACAGATGATGATGAGTCCTTTATGTTTCTGATCATGGATTTGGTTTCATCTTCCCTCACAGAACGAAAAGACCGAACCCTTCTGTTGCTCAAAAGATTTAAAACACATATACTTCTCACCTGCCTCCAATACTCACCATACGGCGCGCTTGCGACATCTTTGTAGTTGTAGAGAAGCTTCTCAAACATGGTGGACTTGGGTCGATCAGAAAACGCGAGGTCATGAGTTTTCAAGATCTCCCGGGCTGCCTCAGCTGAAGAGACAACAAGCACCGGGACACTTCCAAAGTGGAGAAGCATGAGAGGGCCATGGCGTTGGGACAAGGCTTCAAGTGAGCGATGAGGGTACGAGCCTATCTGGTGAAGGTTTCCAATGATAGGTAGCTTTGGCGGAGAAGGTGGTTGTGTTGATTTTTGGGTGGTGGTTTTAGTCGAAGAGTACCATGTGTATAGGAGGACAAGGAAAATGGCCAGTAGTGTGAAGGCCAAAGGTTGCAAAAAGGAGGAGCTTTCATTTAGCTCTTGCAATACTTGCAAGGGATTTAGCATCTTCAGAGTTGGTACAAAGAAACGAATGTGTTGTGTGTGTTTAAATAAAGGCAAAGATCATCGTAGTACTATGCAGAACAGAACCGTCCAATGCATTTAAAAGTTGAAACCACCGCCTCACAGATTTGTGTGTGAGCATTCTGATGGTCCATTTGTCAGAGGAGAGCCACGTGTCTGCCAACTTGGAGCCACGTAAAAGTTAATGGACGAGTTAGTTTTTTTCAGTTTGTTCTCTTTTTCTTCTTCTTCTAGGGATGAGTGAGAATGGTAGAATATAATGCCGGTTTGATCACTTCTCATTAATATACATTATATCAGATTAGTATTAGTCAATGCGCAATCTTATGCGGTTACATCAATGTGATTATAAGATTATAAGTAAGGGTCATTTTGTCATAACGCGGCCACACAAAACAAAACAGAAAGAGCAAGACACGGGTGCTATAACATAGAAAATTTCAGGTCATCACACTAGTGTTTACCAAGACTTGTTCAATTTAGTATATAAAAATTTCATCACAGAGACAGAGAAATGCAAATGAAACCAACCATTAAGAAAAAGACAAGCAGAAAATGATTTGAAAACAATTTTTCCTTGCTCTTTCTTCTTGTATTATACCCATGCATGTCGCCCCCCCAAACAAACAAGAAGGTGATTTTCATACTAACAATTAGGCCATCTCAAATCATGTTGGGGCTAAATTCAATTTCCACCCTTTAAAATACAACTATTCATGTATTATCCGGACTCAAAATATTTTTTCCTCCAACGTTGCAGACTCAAAATTTGAGTCCGTACCTTTATTAAATTGTTTAAGAATATTTGAACTCTATTTTTCTGTTGTGGTTAATTTTTCTTAAGTTGATTTTTGTTTATAACTTCATAATTTATTTTTCTGAACATTTTAATCTACAAAAATCTAATTTCACTTAAAATTTGATTTTAGTGGATTATTTAATAAATGGGTAAGTATTTATAGAATTTGGAATGAGTTTTAAAGTGGAATCTCATGTAGATTAATAAATAATATAATTTTGACTATTGGATTTAATTTGGGTCATTGGATATATATATATTTTTTTTTCTGTTAAAATCAGTCTTGGACAATCTGGGCCGTTAGATTAAGCTTACATTTAAAAAACAAATTACAAAAGCATATTAAATGTAGCCGTTGGATCTCAACGGCTATATGAATTAAACACAACATGCGGCCAACATTTAAAGGAAGAGGCAGACTTATCCTGCAAACGGGCCCCACTTAATTTGCACCAGCACGTAGGCTGTTTTGAGGCTTGCTTTTGGGCAGAGTTTGGGCCCACTTAAATAATCAGTCCAAGCAGTACTTGGACTGGAATTCTACCCCATATTTGAGATTTCTTAAATTTTCACTCTCTAAAATACATGGGTTGGAGAAGATTTTTGAACTCAAAACTTATAATTTGGGTTTCCACCCCTTGAGTTGGAGATGGCCTTATTTCTGGTGGTGGTGCTAACCAAAGGGTATTTAAAAAAATCATTGTTGAGTGTTTTTTTTTTCTGGTTTTCTTCCTAAAAAATAAATTTGTATATGTTTTAAACGAATAGCCGCTCGGCTATACTATTTAAATAAATTCGAATATGTTAACAGTATAGCCGCACGGCTATACTCCTTTAATACATTTTACAAGAAGAGGAAGGGGCATTTACTAGATTTGACTCAAAACAGACAAGGGCTCGTTCGTTACCTTTAGCTATTTGCTTGTCAAGCCAGCGCTTGTATTTGTGACAATCCCTCTTCATGTGCCCTTTCTTTTTATAGAAAAAACACTCATTGCTATCAGTCTTATTAACCTTAAGGTGATTAGTCTTTTTAGGGTGGTGAGCATGTTTGGAACTTTCTTTCTTGACAAGAATGACAGATTTAGTTTTAGGTTCATCCTTAGTCACCAAGTTAACACCATTCACAGATTTCTCACGCTTGATTCTGGCTTCTTGGTGAACACATATAGCTATGAGTTCATTCAGACTCCACTTCTCTCTTTGAGTAATATAATTCTCTCTCATATTGGTAAATTGAGCAAGTAAAGATTCAAGAGCAAGATGCACCAGAAAAGTATCAGTGATAGGTACCTCGAGATTTTTCAGTTTGTTGGCCAAATCTATCATGGTTAAAATATGCTCACGCATACTTCCATTGCCATCGAACCTTATAGTTGTCAATGAATGCATTAACACACCTGTTTCAGCCTTCTCGGACTCATGGTATCAGGCTTAGACATATAATACGAAGACAAGTTCATATACATATATTAAAGAGAGATTCACTATTATACCCAATATAGGAGCCTAAATTATAACAATACCTCATATAAAATGGACTTTAGAAACACACTCAAAATCCATTTACAACATAACAAAAAGGCTTTTAACTTCTTATAGATTACAAAACTGCCATCAATTTCTTAAAACAAGCCCAACCCCAAAATCTCATAAAAATACCCAAAACACTCAATAGGGCATCAAAGTAAGTTAATAATCAATATTAAATTCAATAAGGCCAGCTGTCATTTTTTGGGTTTTTTTTGGGTTTCTTTATAGAAATTCAATCGTGTATGGTTTATCGATAATATTAGTGCTAAGAATGGGTATATCACTAAATATCTCTATATTAAACTGCCCTCTCTATTTCTCAACCTAAAAGTGTGGAAAAGCAACAGCTTTGAGAAGATATTTTTTATGTGCAGTTATACCAGTGGATCCTGTCATGTCTAAATCCTCCCCACTTGCTTCACCGGGCAATATGCCCAATCGAACTTGTGCACGATGTTTGCTAAGGCAATTTCATTAACAGCCATGGCAAACTGAATTCCTGGGCATGCCCTCCTACCAGCTCCATATGGAATCAATTCAAAGTCATTCCCTTTGTAATCTATACCATTATTCAAGAACCTTTCTGGCTCATACTCCTCTGGTTTGTCATACACCTTGGGATCTCTTCCGATTTGCCATGCGTTGAAGAAAACTTGTGTGTTGGCTTTAATGTTGTAGCCATTTACTTCCACATCTCGGGTTGACATCCTGGGAAATAGTAGTGGAAGTGGTGGATGTAAGCGAAGAGTCTCCTTCGTCACTGCCTTCAAGTAGTGCATTTCAACCAAAGCATCCTCTGTAATTACGTCTGTTTTGTTTCCAACTATTCCCCTTACCTCATTCTGCAATTTGTTCATGACCCTTGGATGCCTTAAAAGCTCAGTCATTGTCCACTCTTAAGGCAGTATATGTGGTATCAGTGCCAGCAGCAAACATGTCCTAAAAACAATTGATTGGATTAAGATATTTAACCTATTGCAAAATATATAAATATATACACTACTAAATGTTACATCTCTTTCACAAAAACACACACACATGCATATATATATATATATACACACACATATATATATATATAGAGAGAGAGAGAGAGAGAGAGAGAGAGAGAGTTATAGTTACCAAGATGATACCCTTTATACTAACTCTATCAATAGGAATGCCAGCCAAGTTTTCTTTCTGAATTGCAAGCAAAATGTCCAAAAAATCCTTTTGGTCATCATCTCCACTCTTTGAACTATGGTTCATATGCTCTTGAACCGCTGTATCTATAAAGTCATCCAACTGCTTAGCCACCTTGTCTAACTTGGCTCCCAAACCATTGATATGGCTCAACCAAGAAAGCCATGGGATATAGTCCCCAAAATTAACAGTTCCCAGTAAGTCAGTGAACTCCCCTAAAAGCTTCTTAAACATCCTCCCACTTTCCCCACCTTCCCCATCATTGTACTTCCTCCCTAAAGCCACTCTACACACCACATCATTAGTAAGCCCCACAAACATTTCGGTTAAATTCAAAACAGACGATGATGATGATGATGATGA